CTATAAGTTATTATAGACTAATTTAAAGATTCTATAAATAAGATTACTATAATTATTAATAATAAAAGTCTCTTACTTCGACTATAGAAAGGCGAATTAATATTTAATCTCTTTAATAGTCTTATTATGTCGTTAATAATACTTTTATATATATTTATAATATTATATCTAATTAAGAAACTTCGCTAACTTATAAAGAGTATTAATATAATCTATAAAAGTATAATTAAATAAATACTTTATTATAGAAGTTAAATAATTATCTAAATTAATAGTAATAACCTTAGTTCTTTAATACTTAAAGTATTTAACAATTAAATTAATATCTAATATATTATAAATTTATAAAAATTTATAAATATAGTTATACTCTTATAATTACTATTTAAATTAATATTAATAATTCGAGATATCGAATATCTTATATAATATATACTTAAATAGAAGATAAAAGTATAAGTTTAAATACTTAATTATAATATAAGAATTTTACTAGATTAGATAAAAGACTATACTATAACGCTAAGCTTTAATAATATTAAAGTATTTATTCTTATTAAATATATACTTATAAAAATTATATTATTAAAAATTATAATAAAGAAAACGTTTAAAATCTTTTAATAATAAATAAATAACTCTAATTTAGTCTTTACTCGCTATAAATAGAGATATATATCTTATAAACTTTAAGCCTTTTAAATTAAGATATTTAAGATCTTCTTATTATTATTAATAATAAAATCTTAAAGTTTATAAAGATCTATATTGCGATTAACTAGGCGTTTCTAAATTTATTTATTAATCTCTCTAAATTACGCTTTTATTATAATACTAAAAGTTTATTAATAAAAGCGAGAGTATTATATAAATCTATTATTTTTATATCTTATTAAGTATTTAACGTAATTTTTAAAATTAATATTTCTTATATAAGTATTATAAAAAGAGATTATATTATTTAAAAATAGCGTTAAAAACGCTATATAAGCGATATTTAATAAATAATTATATTTATTAATTATATTTTAAAAAATATAAAGAGATATTCGCTTTAATCGAAGATAAAAATATATAATTAAGTTATTTTTAAAGTATATAAAGCTTTAATAGATTTATTATAAGATTTAATATATATAACTCTTTAATAAAAACTTTGAAATTATTAATATAATTTAAAATTAAATAATTAAAGTTAATAAATTTATTATTTTAAAGACTCTTTAAAGACTCTCTAAAGGCTCTTCGAAGGTTTTTATTAAAGAGATCTTTTTATAAACTTAAATTAAAAAATAAATAGAGAAGAATAAAAAGAGTTTTAAGGAGGAAAGAAGAACGAAGTTATAATATTTAAAAGATTCTTTAAAGACTCTTTAAGAGCTCTTCGAGAGCTTCTATCGAAGAAGTTATCTTTATAAACTCGAGAGAATAAGAAAAAGAGAGATAATTAAGGAATATTATAACTATATATCTACGTTTAAAACTTTTTTTTTAAAATTTAAATTCTTTTAAATCTTTATACTCTTATATTTCTTTATATACTTACTATTTTTCTTCTTATTATTATTTAAAATATTTAATATATTATTAATAATATAATTATTTATTAATAATTAAGATAAGCGATTTTAATCGATATAAAATCTTTAATAATTAAGATAGTATTTAATTAAGTAGATTAGTTAGATCTCGATATATTAATAATATATATAAAATCTTCGCTAATATTTATAATTAAATTCGCTTTCGCTTCTATTTAAAAAGAAAGATTTTATATTTAATATCTAAAGTTCTTAAAATAAGAATAAAAGTCTTTAGACTATTTTCGAGATATTCTATATCTAACTAATTATATAACCTTTATATTTATATTAATATCTTTTAATATAAAATATATTTATCTAAATATATACTTTAATAATTAATATCTTTTTCGCTATTATTAATTATAATAAATAAAAAAATAAAGACTTTAAATTTATTATATTCTCGATTAAATAGAGAATAAAGTTATTTAAATAATTCTTTTAATATCTATTATAAATAATCTATAACTTAATAATTTAAAGTTTTATATTAAATTCGATTTTCTAATAAATATTATATATTTCTTACTTTAATTTATTAAGCTTAATATAGAAATTAACGATTAGATTTTAATTCTTTATAAAATAAGCTAAGACTAATACTTTTTTATTTTAAATATAAGATTAAAGTATTTTTAGTGAGATATTATTTTTAATAAAAGCGAGCGAGGGAGGTAATAGTTTAGACTATTAATTTCGAGTTTATTTACAAAGATAGTATATATAATATCGCGATTATTTCTTTTTATTATAAAAGAAATAGATATATAGTAATTTATAATTTAAGTCTTAATAAGATTAAGTCTTAATTTTATAGATATCGTAAATAAAGCTTAGATATAGTATTACGATCTTAAATAGTTTAAGAATATTATATATATTATAATGAATAAATATAGATATAGAACTTAATATAGACGTAAGAGAACTCGAAGAAATTATTCTACGGCGTATTACTCTTACTATCTTATATATATAATATTTTTTTTAATCTCTTTACTTATATAGTAGACGTTTCTAAGTAATCTCTATCTTTCTTAAATATCTTTCTTATTTTATCTCTTTTATATACTTTCGAGCTAGTTACTATTATCTCGAAATCGTTAATATCTTAATTCTCTTTTATTTAAAACTATTCTTTATAAGTATAATTAAAGAATTAAAAGACTAGATAATTATAGTATTAAAATTAATTTTACTAAGTAATCTTCGCTTAAGAGATAAATATAAAGTATTAGAGATAAAGAGTAAGAATATAGAAAGATTCTAAAGATAATTTCGATAATTTCTATTATTAATACGCGATATAGCTATCTTAAATATAGTATATTAATTAATAATAAAAGTAAATTAACTAGAAAAGATTATATTAATCTATTATAATAGATTAAATAAAAGAAATCGATTTATAAAGTCTTAAGTATAAATTATTAAATCTTAATCGAGTATATTAAAAAGTATTAAATTATCTACTATTTATATATATTAAAAACTATATAATTAAAATTTAATTTTATAGTATTATTAAAAAGCGTATAAGTAATTCTATAACTCTATAGATTTACTTTATTATTATATTATAAATAATATAAAAAAAATAAAAAAAAATGGATTTAAAAGTTTTAAAGTTCTTTTTCAACTTTCTCTTTTAGATATACCTATATATACCCGCGTTTAGATCGAAAATAAAGAGATAAGGTGTATTTTAGACTAAAAATGGTGAAATCCGATGGTTTAATTGGTCATTAGCCTCTTAGCGTAGAAGCTATTTAGGATTTTAACTCTTGAGCATTGAGAAAGCAAGCTTTCCAATAAGCGGATTACTATATTTCCCTAGTTTGGGTTTCAATGAGACAAATTAAGGTCGTTCATCGGCAACTCGGGAGGTGTAACTAGAGAGAATCACCTCAACTTTTGGCTGTCAGGGCTTCACAGCGCGCCTCTTGCCTCACTGTGGATAAACGTTTCCCCGAGTTGCCGACTTTAGGGGCACCCGCGAATCCTTGTACAACAACAACATTTAATCCTCATCACCAATCTTCTAGAAGCCTACATCACTGTCTCATGATGTTACCGAAAAGTGAAAAATGGCTCGATAGTCATCGACCAACACACTGTGTTAAAGTCATTGTGCTCACTGTAAGCAGATGTGGTGGCAATGGTATTGGTGGAGCATTGAAAGCTTAATTGTTACGGATTTAGTGTGCTTTAGGGGATTCTTGCTGTTCAGGCAGGGGTCCACGCTCTTTTGGCGCTTTGGCGCAACGGTTTAGCGATAAGGCACGTTTTCCGTGACATTAATCCACTTATTGAGCAGGGAAGAAGTGATTTTCTCACTCGGCCCGTGGCGCCTTCTTACCACTAGTTGACTCAAGTTGATTTCTTGGGTACGCTTTCAGGCTCTTGGCAAGCCTCGTCGAACCTATATCGTCCTTGTCCATCATTGCCGTGTTCCTTTTCCGTTTCCTGTAATGTTCAAACCATCTGCAGGAAGCTTCTTATGGAATGTATTTCTGAAAATATGCACAGTTTGATCTCCGCCAAACTCCTCGATGTATGTCTTGGTTTAAGTCTCAGAGGCCACCCCTAAGCCATTGACGCCATCAATGTGTCATTGTGCACTGAGATAATATAACGGGACCATAATCTCTCGACCTTTGGCTTCGGCATCCATCCGTCTACTTCCATCGCCACCTTGAGTGTATCGTACAGAGACATCCCGTCTCCCTGTGCGGAATTGAGAGCAGCGCAGACCCTGCCTTTTCCTGTCCTTTTCATTATACATTTGTCGCCGCTGCCTGTTGCTCTAGCAGTAAGTCAATTGAACTGGAATGTTTCCTTCGCTATACTCAACAGTATCATTGACGCCCGACGTGAGCCGCGGGTATCAATATGTTGCAGTGCAGTGGTCGCTAGTCTCTGTTGCGATAGTCGTAGTGCTCTTGCGGTTCAGTAATCGAGGCATGCTCCGAAGGAAGATAGGAGTGGATGATTACACAATTTTGGCTGCTTTGGTATCATACACTAGCCCCTACAACGAATGCAGTCAACGACCCTTTCGCTAATAGCGTCGAAGGCATGTGCCCTCATTCAAAGCGTCATCGCTATCTTCCAGGTCAAGAAGGGATTCGGTCGAAACATTCAATACTTAGATCCTACGCAAATCAAAGACATCACTCGAGATATTTTTGTCACAATTTTGTTCAACATTATTGGCACTTCCTTTGTCAGGGTCTCCGTTTGTCTGTTTATCCTGCAGCTTCTGCCCTTCACAGAGAGGTTAATCCGTTGGTAGGTAGTCCTCGCATTTGGTACAGAATGTGACCTTTTGTCATTATGTATTGAAAGTCGAGCAGGTTGCTAACGGCTGGCAGGTGGACCTACGGGCTCATGGTATTCTTCGCCGTCACTGCCATGGCCACGTTTCTTTCCATGTGCTTTCAATGCATCCCAAATCGAGGAATTTGGGACGAAACCATCAATGCACATTGCATATCAACAGCTGCAACCACCAAGATCAACCAAGCGTCGGGCGGTATGTAATCCGCAACTATCGGTTTTCTAGCCGTAGCTCACCTGATAACAGCATTTTCGGTTTTCATGGACGTCCTTTGCGTTCTGCTTCCTATCATGGTGTTCGGGAAACTCCAAATCAGTTGGCGAAATAAGTTGGCTGTGTTTGTTCTGCTAGGACTTGGCCTTTTGTAAGGCCACACAAATCTTCTGGGGGATCGCCGGTGATTCTGATCCTTTCATAGTACCGCAGGAGCGGCTATTGCGAGGATAGTCTTGTACGATTTTGGGAGCGAAAACCTTACATGTAGGTTTACTCGGCTCCCAGTACCATGTTCCGAGTGGCTGAACGTCTTATAGGGGACCTCGTTCCGGATGCGATTTGGTCTTGGTGAGACTTCCTCGTGCAATAACTTTTCTTATTCTTCCTGTCACAGAACTCATGAGGCCTTAGCGTCGAACAAAACATCGGCATAATCGTAGCCTCTACGCCAGCCCTTCGCCAGCTCTTCACTGTGTTCAAGCTACAGCGCAACGTTCAGCGCTCGCACTCTTCCGAGAAGCCCTTCGCTGGAGCTAACCACTTCATCACATCACCGCTGAGAACATCGTTCGAGGGAATGCAGTTCGACAAGACCCCATCTCTTGACTCACCAGTCAGCAATATTACAGAGCAGATGGAACCCAAACAAAAGGTGGACAGTGGAAACAAAGTGAATCCTACTACAAGCATGACGTGACGGCTAGGGTGTTTGAGCTTGTCAGCAGAAAAACTGCAAGGCGTTAAAGAAGATCATAATGCCAAAGCGAGGGAATGCACTGAGAAGTGGGAGGAAAGGCGTGAGAGTATGCCAACTTTGGGAAATCTAGCGGTGTTGGGGTATTCGTGCGAGATCGAGGGAGGATCCCCTAGGCTGAAGACTTAGGAAAGTTGTGATGGAAGAGGTAATAGAGATTTGGAAATGAAGGCATGTCGGATAGGCACTGCCAGGTTTCTGAGAAAAACCAAGAGCCGTAATCGAATCCTTGCCCAGCTCGAGATTGAATCGAGAAACACCCTCGGTGGTTTGCAAGATGCCGTCCCTCGCAAACATCATGAGTAGCCCGACCATCATGTTTATGCCTTTTCCCCCCAGCCCCATCGATCCTCTTGAACGCCGATGACGATTTAGTTTTGCGGGTAGGTAACTTGCTCTCGAGCTCAACATCTGACATCGAAGATTGGACCACCTTTGAAACTCTCGACGCGATAAATCTGAGTGTATCTTTGATAGCCAGGTTAGAGTATGAAGACAGCGGGACAGACCTGGGTGAACCAATCGTCCTCATTTGCATCAGTGTTGGTGAACAGATCCCGGACTCCGATACTGTCTGCACTTCTTGGAGACCGCTTTTCTGGCGATGAGCCTTGAATTTTCCTCTCATGGTTTACAGTTGTGCGTATCCGTCCCTGGCTATAGCATTCATTCTTGATATCTTTCTCCGCTGATGTAGCTGCATTTGACGGAACGCGCATCATCGACGTCTCCCTCTTCGCGTGGGGTGTATCTGGCCGTGTGACTTTGGGAGATATAAAGTCAGCAGTGCTCGCTGCGTCTTTGTATTGCGTGCGAAATAAGTTCCAAGGTGGGATCCTAGACAAACTGGATTGGTAGCCATTCAAGACAATGGAGTCACGACGCAAAACCAAGTGTCCAACACTCCTCCAGGCCAGCAAGAGATCCACTCCTTCACTGCCTAGGATAAAGATCCATCAAACTTCCGCTGGTTACCTTCGACGAGTCAGCTTCCAGCTTTGTACAACTGCCGACAGCTCCTAGATTTCATGCCTGCCTCTGAGCTACTTCAGATATTTGGCGCTGATGGTACGCGTGACATCATTGTCACACTACTCTTAGAGTATTCAAGGAGGTGTGAATTGCTCCTAGGTTCTGTTTACCAGCGGCAGTACTACCAGCGGATGGTCAATATATCATCGAGGTCAGAAAAGACGGCATCCAGCTACTGCGAGTGGACACGATCTGTGGGGCAGCGCGGTGGCTGTTGTTGACATGTGCACGATATGTAGAAATGAGAAAGTGTCTGTTGATGAAGCTATGTATTAAATTATGCTTGGTCTTTTGATGCAGCATGCTCACTGTTTATGCGACTTCGATTTCGGGAGTAGACTTGCTGTCTCAGTGACGAGGGGAGCTCAGAGCCTGTTACTTGTGGTTTTGCCTTGATCTCTACCTGCACTACCGGCATTTGAATGCCCACCGCTGGCTACATGCAATGTGGATGGCCGATGTCAGCTCGCCTCTTATGGAAAAAGCTATCGTAGTGAAGAGACAGGTGAACTTCATGGTTCACGCAAAGAAAGATACCCTAAGCTTGGCATGTTTTCGCATTCGGCGTTCTGAAATCGTCGCCGCTAGCATTCTCTTTCCAAGCTAACAAATTTCACGTGCTTTCCATGCTTTCTTGAACCCTGTAGCTTACTGCCGCCGTGCATGATCATTGACTCTGCTTGTCTTCAAGTCAGTAAAGTTCCGTAGGCACTCTCATCCATCCTCGGACACTACTCTTAAGTCTGTGATATGCATATCGCCGTAGAATTTGCAATTCGTCTGATGGCAAGTCGGCACAGGGCAATGATGGCCAGCATAGCAGATTGGATCCCGGCAGGTATTCGACTGTCGGCACGGAAGGCCTCTTGCCAAGTACCGAAGTCCATTCAGTTGTTCACTATCAAGTCGTCCATCATGGCGGGCGGTGCAACGACTATCTGGGCATTCCCCGCGGAGATAATGATAGTTGCAGTACTTTTTATGTCGAAGCCATGAGATGACCGATTCCATGGGTCTGATGGGAGGGTCGACTCTCTGACCAAGGGCGTTTCGATAGATGACTGGCTTCGGCCTCTTTACTTGGGGTCGATGCTCGATGTCACGGAATATGCCTTGAAACGAGCATTGCTGTAACTTGGGCAGTAACCGTGTCAAGCTTTGTGCGCCTCGTGAGTTCTTGAAGACCATCAATTTTTCTGTTGCTGTATTGTAGTCTTGCACGATCTTGGTGGCGCTCTCATCGATCACACCTCCAAAAAGAATCAGTTTGCAGTGTGGATCCAAGAGGTTGACTTTGAGGGTGTCCGTTAGGCCTGTCGTATAATTGTCAGCATCGATTGCCTATCCGCTGCATATTATCTCGACTTACTGCGCCCTCGATAAGCGGGAATGCTTATTCTCTCTTCAGTGGGAACGAACTCAACCAATGACTCAACGCTGTTGAAACCTTGAAGAAACCAGCCGAAGTTCGCGCGGCTTGGTATCACATTCGCATCAAAATAGGCGTCGCCGAGCCATTCGTGATTGCCCGAGATGTGGACTGTCAAAGGCATCACTTCAAACTTCCAATTGAGCAGCCAATCACCGATAGCATGGGTCAATGCTGCGGCAGCTTCTCTGCCTCCATCTTGGTCATTGCAGACGTATTTATTTGTCCAGAAACTAGAAAGACTCTTCGCATTAGCATCTACCTCAAACTCAAAGGATGCCTCGAAAGGTTTACCTGAAAGCAGTCTCCATCAATGAGAACAGAGACAAAGGCGTTTGGGTCGCCCTCCATGCGTTCATCGATCCTTGAGTGTTTGCCAAGAGATGACATCTTCTCAGCAGAGGTCAAGAATCGTATCTTCTGTCCGGACATTATATCTGATGTATGTCTACGCAGAGATATAGTTATCTAAGAGAGTGGCAGTTGTGGTGGCTCATTTAGATTGGGGCGTAGTAAGAAGTGTCATGCGGGGAAATGGAAGGTGTTGAGAGCTGTGGAAATATTAGAACATTGGCAAATTTGTACGTCACTTCCCGCGCAAAGAAGGCACGTAGAAGGCTCCATAAAGTCGTTCGTCATGTCTTGGCAATTGCAGAAGTCATCACTTCTGTCAGAAGCTAATTCGACATGCCAGCTTGTGATGTTTCATCGAAGACCGAAGACCGTTTGATATCAAACAATCCGGCGTTTCTTCGGCTCGCCTAGTCTAATTTGGGAAGCAGCTAGATTGTCTCGGACAGATAATCAAAGCACACAGAAAAGAATGCGAAGTGCGCAAATAATCGATCCCGGTACTACGGTGATGAAGCACAATTCGTGTCACTCCCCCAGATTGCTTCGTCTGCTCCGTCTTGGTCCGATGTCGCTTGAGGAACCGTGAAGAGCCTTGATGACACCATGCCAATTCCTCCTACAGATTACCCTACGAGCGAGGGAACAGATCTCTATCCAACGGAACGTATAAATATAGAGGACCACGCCTATCCCCCCTTGTCTTGTCAAGTCCAAGCGTCTGAAACAAAGAAGCATGCAGGTAGCCGTTATTACGGGAAATCAATCTGTGATCACGTGCAACTCTAAGTCAGTTCTAGACCTTTGGAAGAATGAATAAATGAAATTTACTACAACACTGCAACCAAGACCGTGACTGAATTCTTCTATCTGCACGTTCGCGAGAATCTATTCCCGTCTGACTCTTTTAGCAAGCAACACTTTGGGGATTGGGTGATCATGCAAGACGCCCTTATTGGGCGGATAGCGACTCGGAAGGCTAGTGCCGGCCCGCCTAGCCACATATAATGGGCCGATCCTCACCTGGGATTGATGTTTGGCGCTCATACCGCCACAGCCAGCCGATGGAGGGTGGTAGGGCGGGGAAGGATTCTCTTCTCCTTCAATCTCCCTCCTCACGTTGCTATTGCCGACATTCCTGGTATAGCTGGTGTCTCGGGATACACTCAACCAAAATTCGTTGTTTCACCAAGCACGTGCACAACGCTCTTTTACATCTAAGGCCAAGGGGAGTATCATCACAACACCATCAGAGTGGAAGATTTACTAAAGAGTAAGACATTAGAGGTCTTGTCCATTCGCTTTATAAATCTATGCTTTGCATGCAGTACTGCTAGAAGCTGAGACCATGACTTATGAATTCCCAGCTCTGATATTAATAGTAGACCCAAGATCCGCACTGGTATCTGCGGCCCCCAGTCCCTCGGCCCTGCATAATCGCATGGCCGTAGGTGGAGTGGGCATCAGGTGTAGCTTCGTTGGAACGTTGCATGATCTCGAGCGAGAGCAAGCGAGTTCCACCATGTTCTGTTCTTAGCACGTCAATCAAGAGGATCGGATATGTTGAATCCAAGGTTCACAGCCCTACCTCTGTGGACATCGCGTTAATTCACTCAGAAGGAGGGTTCAGATTTATGACGAACTGTTCGGCCAATCCGCTTGCAAGATACTATAGAGATTGCGTCATTGCCCCATCCTGACACCCCTTACATCAGCAAGTAGACAGTTACTTTACTCATGCTTGCATAGGTGCAGCCAACTTTGAGTATCAATGGTCTTACTACTGCGGGTTAATAACCTTCTTTTTCATCATGCGAGTTCCTGCGCATTTTAGCAAATAAAAGGGGGCAGATGCAAGCATGCAAGAGAGGTATAGTGACATCGAGTTTTGTAGTTAGACTTTGGCCGCTGAAATCCTCCAATGAGTTGTATCGGGCGCTTTTCTAAAGCCAGGCATGCTGAAACTTTGAATTGCAGCTGATATATAGGCTTTCATGTTATTATGCACGAAAGACAATAGAAGACGGATGAGATGAGAGTCACGAGCATGTGGGAAGATTATTGGGTTGCCTTATACAATCCAATATCATTTTCTGGTTAATCGGATCTTTCGAGGCCATGCTATTGATGGAGAAATTCGAATTAGCACTCGACAAGCTGTTTTTAAGTCTCATGGCGATAACGAATACACTTTGATCGTCCATACTCGGAGGCGGATAAAGCGCGCTCATGTAAGTCGGATTTGGTACTGTGAGCCTAAAGCCGTACTCTAAGCGGATTTAGAAGCCCGCAGTAAGTATATTAGGAGTTTGGAAGACGCCATATTCGAGGGATCTGGATAATAGAGCAGATCCTTTTAGTAGTCAGAACCGCAGGCAAATCTATTTTCGTCTTTAGATTCCGTTGAAAATAAGACACTCGCTTGCGATCCAAAGAGGGCGAATTACTAATTCATACTCCGAAAGTATAAATCCTTACCGAATCATACCCCTAATTATCGAATCATATCTCTATATCAAATTCCAATCAAATATAGAGTATAATTCGATAATTTACTATTACTTAGAATATAAATTAAGAAATTATTATAATTTAACTTATATTTATAGTATAATATAAAGAATATTAATTAATCTATATAATCTATAAATAGATATATACAATATTAAGTCTACGCTAATAGTTCTATAAGTATCTCTAAGATATCTTATTAATATATATAAAAGAATAAGATAGAGCTAAATTAAAAAATCTTAAATTTATATATATAATTAATTATAAATTTAAACTCGCTATACTCTTTAATTAAATCGACTAAATTAGTTCGATAATTCTTCTACGCCTTCTTATTAAAAATTAAATATATATTATTTATAAATAAAATAACTTTTTTATTTTCTATTAAAATTTTAAGATTTCTTTTTTAAATTATAAAGTATAGTTTACGCTATTTAATATTAAAAAAATTATAAAATTTAATCTTATAATTATTAAAAAGTAAGAAGCTTAAATATCGTTTATTAAAGTTCGCTCGATAGCTCTAAATAAAAAATAAATATATATTATTTAATTTTAAAATAACTTTTTTAATTTCTATTAAATTTTTTAAATTTTTTATTTAAATTATAGAACGTAATATGTACTTTTAGATAAAAAAAAAGAATTATTAAATTTAACTCTATAGATATTTAAAGATAAGGAATTTAAATATCGTCTATTAAAAGTTCGCTTATTAAATTTACTCGATAGTTCTAATAAAAAAAAATACTTATAAATTTAATTTATAAATCTTTACTCGTAATAATATAATTCGATAAGTTATAGAAATAATCTTAAATTATAAAGAAGATAATCCGCGATCTAGTCTCTTCGACTATAGAAATAAAAGAATTTCTTTAATCGCATTTAATAAGAATAATTTTTAAGTATATTCTACTCTACGCTTTAAGATTTATAGAGTTTACTCTCTCTTCGAAGACGCTTTTAAAGATCTCTTACTCTAAAAGATTTAAATTTCTAAATTATCTTTAATTAACGCTCTAGAGATCTTATCTAAATAATCGACTTAAAGTAGAAATATAAATATATGATTAATAACTCGAGTTATCGCTAAATTAAAAGGCTATATCTAGAGATATTATACTCTAACTTAGATCTCCGTAGAAGCCTCGAAGAAATAATTTCTAATAGATACGAATCTTTATTAAATTATACTTCAAGCAATGACAAATTATCGAATCATATCTCATCTTTTGATGTGATTTGATGTAGGGGTATGATTCGGTAATTAGGGGTATGATTCGGTAAGGATTCGTACTTTCGGGGTATGATTCGGTAATTTGCCCGATCCAAAGAGGCTATGATCCAAAGAGGCTATTACCTGAGACGGCTCGACGGCTAATTAAAGCGCTCTTTACGGGATCTTCACAGGGAATAGTAATAAGCTACAGCCTCGGTCCTTGAAACACGCGGCGAAGATTGCGATAACAATGAGTACGATGGCTTGTTACTTTCATTTCCATTCTCAATTTGCTGTATTAAGGGTTGATTTTTCGGCGCGGATGTCTTGGTAGTCCAAGAAGAAGTGATGCAAAAGTTAACCCTAATATTACCATCTCCGATGTCCAGCCTCGGGCAGGATCCAGATCGACCCAACTTACGTTATATTCCAACACCTACTGTGGCGAGGCATGACCTATAAAACTTACAGCACGGATCTGGATCTTCCCGCCGTATTACGCTCAGGCGCTCATCGCCCTGCTGTCCTTACATTGTACCAAGAGTTCTTTCTCTTTGCATCTCCCATCTTTCTTTTGTCTTTGTCCACTACAATTGTCTCATTTGCAGCATACGCGTTATCGTGGCTAGCGCAAGACAGCATCATTAATCTATGTATAACACCAATCGGAATATAAATCATCATGTCCACCCGCATCGTTATGATATCGGACACCCACTCACGAACCCCCCGTATCTCACAAATTCCAAACGGTGACGTCCTGATCCACGCTGGCGATTTACTTCAGGATCCCCAAGGTATCAAAACTTATCAAGATGAGATTAAACAATTGGACTGGATCAAAAACGCATCTCACTCGTTCAAAGTCGTGATCGGAGGGAATCACGATTCGTTTCTCGGTCATCTATATAACAATCCTCTAGCGCCTGACAGCGCGGCCAAGAAGGCGATCCAAGACGCCTTCAGTGACACCAACCATGGTTTTCGATACCTACAAGACGAGGCCTGTGAAATTGTCGTTCGTGGTCACACTTGGCGAGTTTTTGGCAGCCCAAAGAGTTTGAAAGGGAACACGTATGCTTTCCAACATGAACCCGGCACAGGTGGCTTCCACTCTTCTCTATTCGATCTCAATGTTCGATGTCGTTACTCAACTAACATATCGTGTGTACAGATCCCTGGATGACCGATGGGAAATGCATCATCCCGTACAACACCGACATCCTCATCGTCCACGGCCCGCCACTAGATCTCCCTCCCATCGGCTCCCAATTCCTCGATAGAGACCAAGCGAACCCTTCGGGTGGAGACGAGAAGCTGGCTTCCCACATACCTATCGCTTGCAAACTCGTCGTATGTGGTCATGTGCACAGCGGGGCAGGGATTGGCCTTCGCCACCACAAGGGCACTGGTAAAGAAGGCCGCTCATGGATGTTGGTGAACGCAGCGGGTGTGGTGTCACATTATCCTGCTGAACCCTATGAGGAAGATGAGATGCGGTCGTTTCGAGTGGTTGATTTGGATCATCTCACTGGATTGGCAAAAGAGATCGTGTGGCAAGACTTGAAGATGGTGCAGCCGGATCTTATGGCTGGTAACGAAATGCCTGCGAACAACAGTCCTGTAGTTCGAATGTCATGAAACTTGGCATGGGGGTAAGATTTGCGAGGGTTTCTTCTTCGACTAATTTGGTAATGCCAACTCTTGCCAACAGAAAAGGGCTGGAGAAAGAACGCGACGAACGTGACCTTCCTCAAAAATTCCGTGGCCCAAGTTCTCACCATTGGAAGACACTGCACCAGTTGTCCTTCTCTAGGGACCAGTACATTTCCTCTCTGCCTGTGTCTGCGTACAAATCCTCCCATCCGGGATGTATGTCGCATTGCCCAATTCTAGCGTTGCCGGATGGCTTCCAGCAATTCCATCCCAGCCAGGAGAGTCAGGATCATGTATCACATTTCCCCTGCCGAGCGGTTGGTTAGCCAGGATATCCGTACAGCCGTCCGCCAGGGCCCCCTCCTGCATGTAGGTGTTCTGGTAATTGAAGTTTGCCGCGGCACCAATACTCCCAATAGTCCGCCCCCAATCTCTGGACTATTAGTCGGACTGGTCCATGGATGGACGGACTATGCATAGACTAGTCCAGATGTCTAAACGAACTAGTCTAACTATTAGTCCAGACATGAATTTGTGTAGGTGAATTTAGTGGTACATATCTAGATATGATGGGCGTATTTTTAGTAGTAATAGGGTTACGATTTCAGATCAAAGAGCTAGTCTTAAGGCCGAGGTTATAGAGCTATTAAAGTGTCTGAAGTTATGATTTTAATTGGGTCTCTTTTTGGAGGAAGATCTATATGCTATTGTCGATACTTTAAAGAAAGATGCTTTGAAAGCTATGAAGGAGTAGTCGGACCAGTCCATGGACTAGTCTAAATCCACTTGGCCGGTCAAGTATTTAGACGGACTGTGCACTGTGTTAATAGCTTTATTTTGGACTAATCTAGGCCTGTAAACGGACTAATCGGACTATTGGAAGCATTGCGCGGCCAGGAAAGCAGCGGTTTCGCTTCCTTGAGGCCCAAATGCACAAGGAAACATGCTGTTACCTTGCGCACTGCTCCCGGTTCCTATGGTGCCGGGTTCGTAGTTCCAGGTCCAGCAGTTCGTACGCTGAGCGCAGAAATGAAGGATCCATTCGCTTCGAAGACCTCCAAGTAGTTGTCTGCCGTTGCCGTCGACGATGTTAGCTACCACCTGCTAGCTAGCTACATCATCGTATGTACCCAAAGCAGGCGTACTTATATAATCCCTCTAGCGCGATAAGCCTAGGCCGAAGCTTTGGTGATGTTCGCGGGGGTGATACCGTGGTCGACGAGACTGTCATAGCCGTAACGCTTGTCTAAGTGACCGCTGTTGCGATCAAAGTTGTTGAGGTAGTAGACATCGCTGTCTGCGCAGTATTTGGAGGAGTTGGGGCTGATTGTGTCGACGGCGCATTTACTACCAGCAGCATCGTCACTAAGATCTGTGAAGGATACATAAGTGGCGTAGCCACGCCAGACCTTGTTGATGACACGGGAAAGGAAGTCGACAGTCCATGCGTCGACTGCGTCTGAGTTGGATATGTCGGTGGGCTGGAGAAAGAAGCCTCCTGAGAGCATGTTCCTGGGTCACCATCAACCTTGATTGCCTCAAGTACACGTGAGCGTACCAGATGGAATTTGAGTCTTACATCAAATTGCTCGCACCTGCGGCGTCCCAGAACATGTTATCATTAGTATCCTCGAGTACTGTAGACACAGTGTTTTGCAATGCTACCAGTATAGTTTGCAAAGCACCGGTCGCAATGTCCGGACTCGCGGTCCCAGAGTCCAAATTGCTCCAGATACCACTAGCGGCACCGACGACCGCTCCGGGGAGGAGGCCGTACAAGGCGCCAACATCTTCTGGCGGTACTGGATGAACGGCGGGAGCAGGCCTACCACCGCCAATCCCTTTCGGCAAAGGTATGAATATTACGGCAAGAGTAAGACTCGGTTTTGAGTGGTAGTGCTTAAAGCAATAGTGCCTACCTTAGTAGTGACAGAGCCGGCTACCTATATTGTACGGTATTTAATAAGGCTGGCCTTAGGCGTATACCCCCTCGAGCCCCTCTCTAATCAAGCTAGCATCCGCGCGGAAGCTAACTCGATTAAGGGGAATTTGTGCCTAGTAGACTTAGGGGTATACGCCTTAGCATTTACGCATATTTATAGAGGTCTATATCGAAAGTCCTACACATGCGCTAAAACTCTTGGCATTCTTGGTATTCTTCGGCAATTTAATAAATTTCTTAAATAGCTTTATTTTTTATTGATAATTCTTTATATAACTACGTATATATTTATTAACTCGCTTATTTAAATTATATAATCGTATATCCTCTTTAAAACGATCTTTTCTATACTCGTTATCGCCTTTTAAACGAATAACTTCGATAATATATCTAAGTATACGTTCTATTTACTTCTAAATTCTCTCTTATAAAAGATATTTCTAGTAATAAATTTATTACTTTTTAGCCTCTTTTTAAGTCGTTAGTAAATCGTTTCGAGTAATATATCGCTTTATTTAAGACTAATATAGCTTAATAAATATTTATTAAAAATGCTAAGAGTTTTAGCGTATATATAAAACTTTCGATATAGATCTTTATACTATAACTAGAAATACGTAATAATTAATATTTAATCTCTAGAATAGTAATCTAACTATTATAGATTAATATATAATATATAACGCGCTAGTCTAAATAGATTACTCTCTTAACTACTCGTTTTTATCTTTATTTATACGTTATCTCTATTTATACGCTCTTAAATTCGATAAATCTAATATAGATAGCTATTACTATTATAGCTACTATTATTACTTATTTAAATAGTCTATTACTATAGTCTATTATAGTAGTTAATATATAACTCTTAAGCTTATTTAGAAGCGACTAGATAATATAGCTACTAAGAAATTTAAGAAGTAATTTTAAAGTATATATTATCTCGAACTAGCTATTTTTAAAGATACGAAGAGAGATAGAAGTTTTATTAAGAAAAAGGCTACTATATCTTCTATATTAGGTCTATTAATATTATTAAATCTCGCTCTATTATAGTAATAATAGCGAGATAAATAAGAAGCTACTTCGATAGTAGCGGGCTTTATCGAAGACTTTATTAGAGGCTTTATCGTAGTAAGGTGAAAGAGATAGAAACGGTGGAAGAGATAGAAGTAATAGAAGAGGTGGAAGAGGTAGAAGAGATAAAAGAAGCGGAAGAGGTAAGAAGGTAGTAGAAGAGGAGGTAGAAGAAGAGGTAGTAACGGTTTTTTCAAGATATGATAGGCCGATAAGGCCTAAAAAACGGTGATTTGGGTTCTCCGATATTAAGCCTTAATAGAAATAAAAGATCATCATTATTGTACCAGTTTGCCATACAAATTTGGTCAAAGGTAGGCATTTTGGTGTTACGTCGGATTTATCGGATTTTAGAGCGTGCAAATGGGGGTAACGTGCAAATGGGGGTGGAAACGAGTACCACTAGGCTTCTTAGGTAATAAGAATTATCTTGACGCCTAGATACCGAAGCCCTATCAAGATAACTAAGCAGAAAATTTCCTTAGAATTTACGTGAAATCTTTCAACGCGTAGGTGTATCGTTAATTATACCGTCAATTATACAGTATAGTCTTTTTGCCGTGCGGTTATTTGGCTTGCTATGATAGTCAATTGACGAGAGAGGTCTGACGTGACGTTACGTGTCATATGACAAATCCGCATCCCTAACTATGATCTCATGAGAAGCTCAGGGACATCACGCAGACATTGCAGCTTCCCTATGCCTACCACATCATTGCTCTTTCGATATCGAAATGATAGCTGATTTATGCAGCACCCTCAAATCCTACTTCTTCTCGCCCACAACTTCCTTCTTTCTCACAGCAGAAACGTCGTACGTCGCGCGAAAACGCCTCCAATTCGAAGGAGAGTAATGATGGAAAAGCCTTCATAAGACAGTGAGAACCAAGAGGCATGTGGCTCACGCGGGAGTGTGAAGGCGTTGTGGGCCAGTCATGGAGATCACAAAGCCATGATTGCAATCAAGGATTAAAGGGCAGTGGGGTAAACAGATTTACTTGTTTGCCTGATTATTCTATGGAGTGTTGTGTGTGGGCTAGATATATGGCAAAAGGACGCTAATACCTTGACACACACATATGCCCATACGACCATTGCCACCTGACACACCTTCAACACTTGGTGAAGGATTCCAGCGGGCCGTAGGCTGCCAGCTCTCACGGCAATTGCACAGCCCTCATCTCATTTGAGAGGATACTCCTTTTCAAAAAGCGATCGTCGATTAGAGTACCGCCGCAATCACATCCACAATTTAGGTTACCTGTTTGTCAACAGGCCATGTCCTGATCAGCATGATTTATTGTCGCCTCATTCCTCGTGTTCCTGCGTCTTATCAGCTTGACAGCGGGTAAAAGGCACCACATGACGTCAGGCTGCTTCTGCTTCTGCTTCTGTTTCTGCTTCTGCTTCTGCTTCTGCTTCCGCTCCTGCATACTCATCTGGGCACTTTTCATTATTTGCTCACGCTTGCATAAATTAGCGGCGTAGTGGCATCGCCGCGTTGCTGACTGTACTAAGTGAAAAAGAAAAGGAAAAAAAACACGGGATCCCCATGGATGCCCACCATTACATCAAATTTCCTCCATCCACAAAGTCAGCAATCATGCAGGAGATACAACATAAAATCCATTTCTTGACAAATGCCGCAGCCCGACGGCCTGGTCAGCCGTGCATTCGGGTTCGGTCTTAGAGGAAATTTTACCGAGACAAACGATGGTGACTAGGTCTAGACCGTCAACCGGAAATGCGCTGCCGTCCACTCTACTTTCTGAAGGTTACTACGCTTGTTGAGTCGCGTCGTTTTCAATTGGTGTCATTTCAGCGTCTTGAGGGGCTGTGACAAATGGCTGGATGGAGATCTGGTCGGATGAATGGCTACCATCATGGGTAACATCGAGCGTTGTCTGGTATCTTCGAGTTCTTCGCTGCAGGTCAGCATGCTATGCGTGATACTGGCTGGCCGGGATATCCGCTGATCCTGCGTCTGCCACCAGAAACCTCTAGTCACGATGAAATGATGTATGATCGTCAATTTGGCCAAAGTCTTCGAATCACAACTTGTCCAAGACCAGATTCCCGTTTCATATCCAGGGTAGCATCAGCTTGCGGTTCCTTTGAGTTTTTCTTTCGGGGAATTTATCCGAGCTTCTTGCATACACCACCTCTTCAGCCTTGTCTCCACAATTGGCAAGGCTTGCATCCTGGTCTACATGCAGTCCATCGTTCACTCTCGTTTGTTTGTTTTGATCCATTTGGTATACATGAAAACCATTGAAAGCGTCACGTTCGTTAAATTTGATTGATACTCGCTATGGCTGTTGTCGCCAGTTCTCGAAGGCACCTGATAGGCTTCCAATAGTCAAGTGCTACCTCAAAGAGCCCGCCCACTTCCGGATACACCATGATCAGAGTTTCTGCTCAGGTGCACCTGTTGGCTAACTTATCTCCGGGCTTATTTCTTTTTCCAAGCCCCCCGAGCGAGCCTATCAAAGCCCGCCAATTCATGGGGTCTGGCGGCGAACGGACGATAGGCTATTAGTGGGCCTGTATTATCCTCACGTTCTCGATCTACCGATCTTAGTAGTCGCCAATGAGCTGATGATCAACCATATCCGAGGCTAGCAGTGTTTACTGTCAGCTCCGCTCGCCAAATTGGTATGAATTGGGAATACGAGGGATTTTTTGGGCATGAAAAGTGGTGTCGAGAAGGGTCGAGACAGCCTGAGAAGAATCGCTGCAACTTATATAAAAGGGAGCAAACGCTCGTTATCTTCCAGGTCCATACTATCAGCCTTCTCGAGGGTACACTAGTTTATCCCGACTCACTACCATGATGCTCCTAAAATCATCCCTTTTGGCTAGCTTGGCCCACGGCATTTGCATATATGCTGCTGTCTACGATTGGGATGTCACTTGGGTCAACCGGAACCCAGATGGTCTGCACGCAAGACCTGTCATCGGCATCAACAATCAATGGCCAGTCCCAGCAGTCATGGCCAATGTTGGTGAACAGATTACTGTGCATCTAACTAATCAACTGGGAAACGAGACCACAAGTGTGCATTTCCATGGTCTTTTCCAGAACGGCACCAATTCTATGGATGGCCCGACGGGAGTGACGCAATGCCCAATCGGCCCTGGGGAGACTTTCACCCAAGTCTTTACGGTAAGTATTACACCATAAAAAACATCATACGAGGACTCGATTGCTAAGACCTGCAACAGGTTAATCAGCCTGGGACTTACTGGTATCATTCCCACAACGGGGGCCAATACCCTGACGGCTTCCGAGGGCCTATCTTGATTCACGATCCAGCCTCGCCTTATGCTGGCCAATACGACGAAGAGCTAGTGCTGACCCTATCGGATTGGTACCACAAACAGATGCCAGAGCTAATCCCCGGCTTTCTTTCCCCAATTCAAAATCCTTCCGGGGCAGGCGAGTCAGTCTTGTCCGCACGTGGGAACAAGGAATGCTTACACCTGAGCACACAGAACCAATTCCTGACTCAGCAATCATTAATGACAACGCGACGACATCATTCGCCATCACACCGGGCAAGACATACATGGTCAGGATCATCAACATGGCCAACTTCGCCGCGTTCTTTGTTAAATTCGACCAACATGAGATGACCATCATCGAGGTCGATGGCGTTTATACCGTAGCCCAAAAAACAGACCTAATTTACCTCTCCGACGCTCAGCGTATGAGTGTCTTGATAACAGCAAAGCCCAATGCTGATGAGAACTTCGCATTTGTTGGCGCCATGGATCCTTCCATGTTCGACAGTGTCCCTTCAACTCTGGATCTTAATGCTACCGGGTATCTTGTGTACGACGCCGCGAAGCCGTTGCCTTCGGAAGCTCCGACTTTCGCCTCCTACGATGGCGGCTTGGCCTTCGATGATTTCGGCTTAGTACCGTACGACAAATTGGCTTTGTTCGCACCTGTCACTCGCCAAATCATATTCAACGTGAACTCTGGAGTTACTGATAACCAAAACCGGTAAATCATTCCCTTAACTCAATGCGGTCCGAGGTTGCGTCGCTGACATGTGAACTCAGATTCACCATCAACAACATCACTTATACCGAACCAAAAGTGCCCTCACTCTACACAGCTTTAAGCGTTGGCAAAGACGCCACGAACCCAATTGTCTATGGGCATGCCGCCAACGCCCATGTAGTAGACTACTACGACACAGTTGAAGTAGTAGTCAACAACTTCGACACAGGCGGCCATCCGCTCCACATACACGGCCACAACTTCCAGATAGTACAGCGCTCCGCAACCAACGCTGGCGTCTACGGCGGAATGCCCATCGACCCCCCAGCAACTCCCATACGTCGCGATGTAGTCAAGGTCAATGCGGGTGGTTACGTGACCTTTCGCTTCATAGCAAACAACCCAGATAAGTATCCCCTATCCCCTATCTGCACCCCAACACCTTCGCTGACCAAAAGCCTGCACGTGTCTGGGCATTCCACTGCCACATAGACTGGCATCTTATCGCCGGCTTCTTTGCAACGTTCGTAGAAGCGCCCTTGCAGCTACAATCACAAACCGTCCCCGCGGACCAATATCAGGTGTGCAAAGACCAAGGCCTGCCATACCAGGGCAACGCAGCGGCGAATACACAGAACTATACGGATCTGGATGGTGCTAACAATGTTCCGCCACCTATCAATGATCAAGGGTGAGCCATATCTTTGTATCCTTTTCAAGTTTTCTCCGTCCAAAATGACTGAGGGTAAACGCAGAGGAGCTACCTGATTGCATCTACGGGCATTATAAGTGTAGAGATGGTACGATTACGAATCGTGTTGAGAGTTGTATTTTGCTACTGTATTACTACTTCTAAAAGGGCAATGCTCAGCCAGCCCATTCTGTTCGGAAATCTCAGCAGATCTACCCTCCACGCACCTGTGCCAATCTTCCCGCTTATGCCCATCTCCTCACTCCTTTACAGCATATATTATGAGTCGCCACTCGCACCACCTCTTCCACTGACCTTGCGTCGCTCTCCCACTCTTGGGTCTTCTTTCCTTTTCAAAATCCCCACTCCAAAAGCTCACTCAACTTCCTCACCTCCTCCACGTCAGTTTTCCATCTCTCTGGGAGAAGCGTACTGAGCTCCAGTGCCGTATGGATCTTACCCAGTAGCCCGAATTGGTTTCCCCGTCCTCAGTGCCAATTTAACTTTTGAGGCACCCAGGATCTCTTCTCAATTCTGAGCACATCATGATACTGACTCTGTGCAAAATCTTCTTCGGAGGGCAATTTTGTCATGCACGACGGCTGCGCGAGTCTGCTACTCAATTTCCTCACTCCGGGACCTTTTGTTGGACATCTGAAAACGTCTGCACGCCAATAGGAAATCGAGGTTGAGGCGTTGCGGGCCCGTGAGCTTTGAAGTGCGCGGGTGTTGCTCTCCGATACTTTGCTCCACACGCTAAAGCCGTAAACAAATATACCATGCCAATAATCTTCACCTAGGCCGCAAATATGAACACATGATCCCAGTCTTGGCCTCATCCCCAACCGAACATGACATAACCCTTCAAATGGGGCGCTGGCAATTTGTCTGTTGTTCCGTGGGTGTGACGCTCGCCAAGACTTACCTTTGCCACTCATGGCTTTTGGTCAGGGTTATAGCAATTCTAGAAGCTAGAATATGTTTAGCACCTGCTTTTTCTTTACCAGGACTGAGACGTGTCATGGCTCTCTGTTCTCAACTTGGCGCCTTGCAAATTCGGCTGATCTGTCATGCCGGTTTCGGATTGGTGACTAGCAAGGCAAGCTTTGAAGTCTGATAGGAAAGGCTAAGATATGACGTTTTGGAAACTACATGGGGGCCCACGCATTTTTGGGTCCGAATAGTAGAGTGCCATAATAGGAAGGTTGTCCTCGGAAATTAAGAAGGGGAGCGATAGGGATATCTCCCACTTGCCCAAGAATAGGCGAATAAAGATGATCTACATACCGCGCGGGCCGATTCCCCCTGATGGGAAGGTGGTCTGAGGCCAGAGTCCTCGGGACACGCTATTTGTATCTGCAACTGCACAACGCAGACTGTCGGTCGAGAGATCACCGTACCTCACTCGTTTTTGGTACCAACTTTCTCGTTATCTCTCCAGAGTTACGTCACACTTACTTGCGCGGTACGGCGCTCCGGAGTGGTCTTTCCACATACCCGTGCGCCCAGGAACCCCACTGGCGCCTCTGGCATGCTGTTGCCGGACGCCATCACCGATGTGGGGATAGATTTCACGCAACGTAGAGCCCCACACCTCGTGCATCTCACTTAAGATCTGCATATATTCCTCCCGCCACTCTTGCTAAAGTAAATGCTGGACGATTATTCCGGCAGTCTGATGTGCGACATATTGGTCATGGATCTGGAAACGCTGGCATTGAGAAAGTTCCAGACTGGTGGATCCAGATTCCAAGGAACCATGTCCCAAACCATGTGTTCGCCACCATTCGATCGTCTCCACCCAGCTGTCGTAGCCAGGAAATTGTACACGAGGTCGGGTCCCGTTGGCATTTCTCCAACCGCCATGAGCCATGCTACGACGCCGGCTACGAGTGGAGCAGCTGGGTATGAATTCTAGCGGTACTCCTTCCTCGAGCGTTTCGGTCTGCTTACAGAACGAGGTCCCAGTCTCGATTCTGTACGCCGATATTAATACAGCCGAGGCACGTTGGATCTGGACGCCAGGTGCATGTATCTGCGGATATTCCCGCCTTCTTTGCTTCTGACAAGTCCAATGTATTTCACCGTAGTTGTCACAATTCCCAACGACCACAAGGGTTGGTATTGCTGCGTAAAGACTGAACACTGCAGGAGCCGTATCCACCATCCTACGACGTTTACTTGTAGTTCATCGCTCCCAGCAGCACAGATGATCAAGACGTCTAGGGTCCGCAAAGCCTCCATTGCTTTGTAAACTGCTTGTCAGAGATCGTCTTGCGGATCCAATGGGAAGGGGACGGGGTCTATCGAGCCCCAAAATAGTGTCACAACGCTTCTGGCTTGACGCTGTTTACCCTGTACAGTACACGTTCGCGAATACTCCACATGATTTCGGCAAGAGAGGCTGTGCTGTAGTCGGGGCATTTTGACAAAATCAAGCTTTTCTCTTTTAGAAAAGCCATATATCCTGCCTGCTGCTTCGCTGACGGTGCAGGTGCTATAGCCAAAGTACTTCGATGGCGCTTCTGTCTTTTTCATGCCATCTTTGTATATCTGTAGTCGGTCCAGAGCCACTCGATATGAGCGCCACCAGCAAGCTCTGTAACAGCGGCTGTGATGGTTTGTACCGCCTTCTCAGTGATGGATTCACGGGCCAGACGATGTACTCGTCATCGGCGGGCCCGGCAACATTTGCATTCATAGGTAAGAGGGTCATTGCTAGAGCTATGCCAACTCGCGATGGTACAGACAACATGATCATTTGCTTTCTGAGGCTTATACTTAAGACTTCTATGCTTAGAAGATCCAACGACATGAAGGATTGAAAAAGCCTCGAGGAGAAGTGGAAAGATCGCCTGGGGCTGAGGCAAATCCTGCGACAATGACAATGCGACAATGCGACAAGCGTTTCGTTGCAATCAGCCAACAGGAGGGCAGCATGGCTACACTAATACCTCCTTAAATGCTACTCTAAATGCATATGAGACCACTGAATGCACCCATTATCCAAAACGTTTGGGCCATGAGGCTTGAGCTGTGCATTATCAAGCTGGAGTGGCAGGTGCAGCTAACGCACTCAGGGTATAGTGTCTGCGGATGTCCGATCCTAAGGCTTTGGTGCGGGATGAGGCCCGAACATGTGACAGAAAGCGACATGCTAAGCACATATACTGGATCAACAGATATCGGTCGTCTGTTGAATGCGACGGGCATAGTGATATGTCCTTGAACCTTGAAAACTACCTCTTCTATGGTCGTAATGGAAATGAAGGGCGGAGTCAGTTTTGGGTTTTGATGTTAAGTGGCGACCTATGCTGGCTTTCGCAAATCCTCACGCTGGAGACTGGGGAAGTCCAGGTTTTCAAGATCATCTCGGATCGTCTCATCATCTCGACCAGGTGGTGCCTGCAGCAATACGATTAGCTAATCCTCCAGTTCCGGGTTCCTTGACCTCTGTCCCGATGATTTCCTCTCAATTTTCAGGCAGTGAAAGCCTGCTCCACTCTCTGGCGCGTCCTTCCTAGCAATAGTATCATACATCATCTGCGCAGACATAAAAATTCAGGATCAACCAGCTTCCGTTAACTCTTGACACGACCTTGTGGTCGTAACTTCGCCGAGAGGATTTGGTCGGCGAAAGAATTGGGAATGCAGGCTCGCGAGGGGAGCGGCTGGTAGCCTACCCTAGCTTGCCTTGGGCTAGAAAGTATGTTGAGATGGGGTGAGTAGCGTGCCGCCGTCCCCGGAACGATCCCCTATGAGGCGCAAATACAAGCCTACAATTGGTGGGAGTGATGCGGGCTACCGAACCAGCGTGGGACACGAGTCTTGAATGCACGCTCGTGGCACGTTGGAGCGAGCCATCCCGAGCACAGTCAAAAACAACATATTCCTACTACAAGCGAGCTGAACACCATAGCTTATAATAGGATGGACCATATGGCATGTGTTGACGTTGTCTTTCTTTCGAAGCCTTTCTTCGCAGACCGGTGCAGACAGTGATACCTGTCAGCCAACGTAAGCGTGCTTAAGGAAGGCAGTCGGGACAGATATCGCGGAGAACATGGTCCGGTGCGTTGTCCAGTCTCAATGGCTCATCTACTCGAAACATTTACCCTCCATATCTACCGCAAAACGACATAGCATTCAGGCTTTCCCATTATTTGCCATCAGCGGACGCGGCTCTTCCAGCCATACCCTGTCTGCTGACGACAATGCCAAACCTCTCCTCATGGGGCCTCTGGACAACGTCATGCCACGCCACCACATCACTCCCAAAGCGCTGTTCATCCCTGCATCTAGCTCGAGTAAAGAGAAGATCCTCAAAATCCTCAAATCCGGGCTCGCCCAAACCATCAAAGCCATTCCAACAGTAGCAGGACATGTCAAAGCCGCTTCGAATCCGATCCAAGAAGGCAGTATGTGTGTTACGACTCCCTTCGGCGCTGTTGAAGACATCTTCACGGCACAAGATCTCACTGAATCTCACCCCGAGATGGATTATGATGACCTGAAGCGGCGCCACTTTCCCATGGAGGCCGTGGACTCCAATGTGGTTTACTCACTCCCAGACTTGATGAAAGCCGAGAAACCCGTATTTCTTGCGCAAGCCAACTTTATCCGGGGTGGGCTCGTCTTAGGTATATCTTTACACCATTCCTTTGGGGATGGCACATCCTTGAAGACGATTCTTCAGACATGGGCCACATGTTGCAGAGGCGAGAGCGCTGCGCCGACTCTCACAGAATCCACGCGGCGCGAAAGACTGATGTCTTCAGAGACTGGCGCCAGCTTGGACGAATTTCCCGAATACGCGACTATTCCAGACAACATTGCTGGCTATCAACCAGGAGTGGCAAAAGGGGAAGGCCCTGAAATTGCGCCCGAGCCTCCTCAAGTGGATTCCCATGTTTTCTATCTTTCTGCACAGAGATTAAAAGGGCTGAAAGATCTTGCATCAGCTAAGCTGGAAGGCTCAGACTGGATATCCACCAGTGATGCACTGTCAGCGCTTCTCTGGCGCTCCATTACAGTTGCTCGAAACCTAGAACCTGGGGACGCTGCAACGGAGGATACCAGAGTACTCAACATCCCGTTAGATGGACGTCGTATTATGCGCGAGGATACGAACTCTTATATGGGCAATATGATTCTCTTCAACAACGCAACAACGCCGTTGCGAAACTTGCTCTCGTCCCCACCCCAGCTGCCCGAGATAGCGCGCACCATCCGACAATCCATATCACGAATTGATGAGAAATACATCAAGCGTGCCATTTCAGCCATCGGCTCCGTTCCAGATGTCAGCAAAGTAATCATGAGCGGAGGAACATTTGGCGAAAGCGCCTTGACGATCTCATCGTGGGGCAACCTTCACATGGACTGGGGCCACGTTATTGGTGGACCAAGCGAGCGTGTGAGAGTTTCGAAGATACCATTCCCGGGCGTCTGTGTCATTCTTCCCGCGTCAGAGCCGGGAAATAGGAGCACTGAGCCGAATGGAGTGGAGGTCATGATTGGGTTGAAGAGTGATGACATGGCACGATTGATGAATGATCCGTTCTTCGCTAGCTTTGCGGAATGGAGGTGCAGCTGACTGAGTTTGTGGTCTTATGGCACGTAATGATTTTAATGACCTTGACGTTTTACGTACTGTTGTAGATGGGAGGAAATGTCACGCAGCAATTCCAGGGGCATTGATTGAGGTTCCACCTAGATCTTCTTTAGCTGTGGTAGAGGCGAAAAGATTAGGTTTTAGACTCTACACAGAATCCTTCGAAGCCAAAACTCTTTGGAAGGACAGGAAGGGTTCCAATTAGACACCCTAGACTATGTGCCATACCATCACGAACTTGCTGTGCGCCTTTTAAGACTGTAGACCTGCGAACGCTTGACCTAGAACTACACCAGTTGTATGCTCAAGGCACCTCACACCCTTACGTACCAGTGACGTAGAGAAGGTAAAGAAACAAATGTATTCAGCAAGGATCAGGGTAGACATAAAGCAAGTCCTGGAAGTAGTGACTGTCAGTATCAAGACAAGCTGAAAGACATCAATCGAAGCTTTTTGAACAGGAGAACGCTCGTTGAGCTGCCCTTGACATAGTATTTCGTCTGCACACAGCTCTGCGAGCTTGACTAGGTGGTCCAACGATAGAAAAGTGCAGAGCAGGTCAAAAATTCTCTACATCGAATGGCCCTTTTCTTTTGCGCCTTAATACCATCGAATAGCGCGATAAGCGTTGTGCATTACTCGTCATCACAGTCCCTCAAATAAACCGCGTCATAATTTATCAGCAAATCCGGGATCCTGACCCGGTTATAGTTGTTCTTGTAGAACCTCACGACCCGAATGGTCCCCCAGAGAGCGACGTACAACACCTGAAGTAATATGGGGTCCAACTGTATCTTGTCTGCTATCGACAGTATAGATTTATCTGTCACATTGGTCTTGAAGAGCTCGAGTACAAAGTCACATTGGTGGCTGGAGAGTGTGATTGGGACAACACTGTGAAGATCTGTGCCGACAATGAAGCTGTAAATATTGCTTTACGTTCTTGTGCCATGCATAATTGTAATAGCGCCAATGACCACTTGAATGTTCTTCTTATCATTCGTAGAGGCCGAGGCAAACGCCGTCTTGATGGGCTTCAAAGTCTGGATAACACGTGTGATAGGGTTGTTCGGCTTCCCAAAACCGGCACACAGGTCGGCCTTATCATGGGACTCGGATGGTGAAGGATCGAAGAATACGGGCATGGCCATGTGGATACTTCCAGCAATACCAACAGCGATTATCCAAGCACCGCGAACTCGGGCATCTCGAAGGTCCTTGATGGGATATGGCATAGGTGGCGCGGAAGGTCTCACTTGAAAGGTGTCACGGTAAAGCGGCGGATAGCTATCAATGATGTTCTGAAGTTTGTTCTTAGTCAATCTGTTTTCTGCAAGAGAGCCTTTCAAATATGCCACAAGCATCGCTTTTCCCCCCTTTGGATCCGGAATCTCTTCAAGCTCAAGCTCGGCGTCTTCAAATTTCAATCCGCAAACTAAACTAGAGTCGCCATATACGACAAGGCTCTGGCTGCTAGACGGCGGACTGTCAAACCTCGACGTCGCATACGAGAAGAAGGCTAGGACGGTCTTTGCGTCTGTTCTCAGGTATGTCTTTTTAGCTTCCAGCTGCAATGGCTTTTTGAGGGGTTTCCTTGCGCGCCTTCCTGGAGAGTTCCACGCTCGATTGGACATGATGTCAATCGTAGAATTCCAACATTTCGGAGCTATGACATGAGCAACACGGTTGCTGCGATGGAGGCAAGAAGCAGGAGTGACGCCACAGTCGTGTATGCCGTTGTTATCAGAAGGCGTATCGGCCCAGAGTAAAGAATCGCATTGCGTTGTTTTGGGCCAGATACGGCCTCGAAGCCGACGACCGATGGCCTGTATGAAGCCGACAGCTGTAGACGAGATCATCAAGGGGATAATAGCGATTGCAACAATGACAGCTGCCAATCCCCAGTCGAGCGCCATGATGCCTCCAGAGTCCAAAACTCGGAGAGAAGTGTAAGTAAGAGCTGGTTCGAAGATACTGTGTGGTTACTGCAATGCCAAGAAACATAGAGGGTCCAGACCAGTCTCTAGCGTAAGCCAGTGGTCCGAAAAGGTTCATACGCCATCGCTTCGCCCTTTCTCCTTCGACTCAAGGCTTGATAAGTCTTCTGTCTCTCGCCCATTACTGGCAAACCAAGGCCAACATGCAGGCATTGATCAGCAGGGTTTTAGGGGGAGCACTCGGAGGAACCCTGGTACTTCTCGTAGTGTTTGTATTATCATGGGTAACAATAACCCATTGAGTCAGCATGGTCGAAAAGCGCGTCGTTGGGAGTTCTGGAGACGAAAAAGCTGAGCCTGCAAAGTACGAAATGGTTAAGGAAGAAGAAGGAGAAGATAGAGACGAGGAGGATGAAGCGCAAAAGCCTCTCACCGACTGGGAAGCCGCACACGTCGCCGCAGAAAGTGGAGATCTTGCCAAACTTCGCCTTCTTATACTGAAGCGCGGCGTACTAGTACATGTAGATGCTGAAGACCAACACGCCATGACACTCCTCCAAGTTGCTTCTCGGTACGGGCATCTCGAGCTTGTCCAGTTTCTCATCGACAATCACGCAGCCGTGAACGCGACAAAACTTGATGATCGTGCAGCATTGCACTTCGCCGTCATCTGTGGGCACATCTCAATTGCAGAACAATTGCTCGAGCACGGCGCAGATGCCAACCTACGCAAAAGATTTGGACTCACGCTCTTGCACGTTGTAGCGCAGACATCGCACACCGGCCTTGTACAAGTCCTCTTGGAACATGGCGCGGAAATGGAAGTTCCTGACGACAGAGGCAATACGCCACTAGACTGGGAGATGACAATCGGACCCGGTGTCATGGTGCAAGTATTACTGGAACAAGGTGCAATTCTTCGTGATCGAGATGCTGACGGAAAGACAAGGGGTGGGACGTGCTGAAGGTTGATGTCTTGGCCAAGAAAGGACAGCCTTTTCCGACAAACCACAGGGACATGCCAAGGTGATGATGCTGTACGTCATAAAGAAAGGCCAAACGAACGATGAGGGAACAAATTTACCAAGTGGTACTCAAGTGAAATTCGTATATCAGTCCTCACTGAGAGGTCGTCGGCCTTCAAGAGGTTCACCGCAGGGTTTCGCCAATTTTGGGAAGATAAAATTGTGTTGGGAGATGTTACTGTAAAAGTTTGAGGAGGTGTCAGCAGGAAGAGTACCGCGGCGTGACGATCTATGAGCAGACTGTGTCTCTGAGGTACCAAGTCCTAGATTTCGCCACAACATAAGTGCCAAGACGACCACTTCTTGCTTACGAGTAAAGAGTAGTAGTATGCGAAAAAACTAATACTGGTGTCTGTAGAAGACATATAAGACACGATGTGTTGTTGAAGGCAGCTTTTCACATGGTGTCATTTTCGTGGATAATGATGATGCGTTTTTCCGGTGCTCAATACCAAAACGGCTAGCAGTGTTGCTTTATTTAGACTCTAGAAGGAACGCTATTCCCAGCTGAGCATTAGTCCGATCGTCGGCGGTCTACTCCGGGCTCACATACTGACCTCGGTGTTGGATAAAACACCACCGCAACACTGCAGCAAGCACGTCGAATGCTACTTCCCGCCGCATAAGCGAGCCTATGATTAGTGGATGATACAGATGAGTATTGACGGAGATACGAGATACGAGTTCAATACCAAGACTGCCGACTCTCGCTGAGTAAATCTCCTCAATATGATCAATCCGGTGGTAACGGTTGGATCCTAGAGGCACAGCAAATAATGCTTGACTTGCATTTTGGACTCTCTTTACATTTGCAACACCCGTCTCGTACTTCGTTATTTGGAAGGTACTGTCTTTGCTTTGGCCTTGGATCAGACCATTGTTTGCGACACTCAACTGAGGCACCTCCGAGACGGTTGACGATGCTAGTACCGATCTGATGCACGCAAAACACTGGCCTCAAGTATAAGATGAAAGCTAGAACATCACTAGAAGACTAACAAATCATTGCGATAGCTTATCTGCGCGTCGGTGTAGTAGTCTATTCACACATCGTCCGTCCTTCGTCATCCCTTTGCGGCACGTCCGTAGTGGCCGCGGCCTATACAGTGGATCCTAAATGCAACCCTAACCTTACTGATCGGCCAAATTCTTGGGGCCAAATGATGCCGGCGAGATGTTTCCGCTACATTTGAGCATTGAATTGGTCAGATACATCCTCTTCGGCTACTCCGTCGAGTCTCCTGGCCCTCGGGATCCTCGCTTCTCGGTAATACCAGGCAGCGACTAACCCTAGAACCTGTGCTCCGATAATGCTGCGTCCCTTCCATGTACCTATTAACAGGCCGGGGCTGTGCATCGAAGTTTTGGCGCCGTGGTTTTTGGACGGCCCCTGCGTCCTTTCCCGAGATTGGGAACAAGTCCCATTGAAACAGCAATTTGTTAATGTCTGCGGCCGTTCTTCGACCCTGCTGGATTGCGCTTCTGGTCCAGAGCCTTTTTCTCTGTCGAAAAAAATAAGGGAACCTATTGTAACCGTCTCGATACCAATCATTGCCTGAATATCCTGAAACGTACCCGATACGTCGCTTTGCATTTGAAAAGGACAGCTTTGGAGCAAACAGCATGTCATCGAAAACATCTTACCCAAGCCCAAGTCTAATGAAAATGTTTGTAGCACACCGAGGATCCACTCATTCTGCTGGGAATGATGCGGGACATGCTCTTTTGTGGCACTTACCTCGGGCTTGTCAGGCTATCTGCCACTTCATCTGGGCCCCTCAGTTCTAGCGCAAAGCTGCGCTTGTGCTTTCACATTACATTTGTGGCCGGGCACGTGCATCTTCGACCTCATAGGGCTGCGCTTGGCAGATCCTTGTTGTAACTCCGTACCACTGCTTACCCTCTAAGAATGTGGGAGACCTGTTCATTTTCAGGTGTGGGGTCGGTGCCTCGTTTCATGTGCCTGACTACTGATCGTGTTCCTTTGATTCTCGCGCATGAATTGTCTGTACGAAGGTTGCCCTTGTCAGAAGCAATAGTCCTTTTGGACAGCACACATGACTGTTGTGCTCTCTCATTGACTGCTATATATCGTGAACACGCTCTCTCCTTCCATTCGATAGACAGCTCTACTAACCTCAACAAGTGTCTTGACTCCATCTTTCAAGATGCCTGACATCTCTTTGGTTATACTGTGGCATCTCTTTGCTATGTTTACCTGCATCCAAGCATCCATCATCCCTGGGGGTCGAGCACCGGTCGTGGCCCGACAGGCTATTGCCTCAGCACCAATCACAACAGGCAGCTCATCGTCACTATCCTCTACAAGATCCATGTTAGCGCCGCTGCCGACGACAGTCGGCGTCGCGTCCAATGGTACTCATGCAGCAGTCAACAAGCTCCAATTTCAAAATGCAGACGTTGTTGCCGGAACCAGTGCAGTTGCCACTCCGTCAGGAGCATCCGATTCAGCAATCGCCTCGTCGTGCTTGAATAACGATATTTCGACTATTACGGAGTCATGGCAGTCCTTTACGGCATGTTTTCATGATCTGCTGCGTGAATACTACTTGCTTACATGTCTTTGGGTAGGTCATGGAATACATGACAAGCCTGCTGTCTGCTGCTCCACCTAGTGCGACCGTCGACGGTGCTGTCGACGGCGTTATGCTCATGCATGACGATGTCAACCCGCCCGGCGCTGTCTGTACTTACACTTCAAGTAAGCATCGGATCAGGAACGCGGCCAGCTTTTGATTCAAGCTAAAACCCCATTCAGAATGTGACGCTATTGGTTGCACTCAGGTGAAAGACTGGGACAATGGGAGCGACCTCACGGTACAACGTTTCCTTGCCTACACCGCCATGGTCAACCTCAACAACTACCTCTATAATATCTACTTTAGCCTGTTAGATTCGGGCACAATAGGTGGATTGGTGAGCGGTAACATCGTCACAGTAAGTCTCATCGCTCCGGTTCGCACAATTAAAAACTTACTCGTTTGAAGGTGTTCTTCACGAATCCATCGCCCAGTGCTACTTGGATACAAATCATGGGCACTGTCACTCCGTGAGTGCTTTTAGCCTTTGCTTCAACTTACATTCTGATACCTTACAGACTTCTGGGGCTCGGTTCCGCTATCCTTGGACCATTGGTAAGCCTTTCGCACTTCTCTTCTTCGGCTTTCTACCTTTGAAGGGGATGACTGGACTCCTTTGGTTCTCAGATCTGACTCTCTATAGAGCGCCGCCATCAGCCCAGTCCTCGGAGCCCTAAGTGCAATCTTCAGCTTCATCACGGCTTTTGCCACCGCGAATAGCATCGGACCAGTCGTCGACCAGAGATTCAGCGAGTACGAGTTGCGTTTCACAGTAACTAGAGCCATGCTAACCTTTTGGTTCACTGAATAAAGGTACTCCACTATCACCGATTTCATCGGAAACTATCTGAAAGGTACATCTACCGGAGTAGAAGCTGCCTTCAACAGCACCATCGGTTCAAACTCATCTATTGCGGAGTGGACCGAACTGTTTACAGGCGGTTTCTGGGTGCAATCGGACTACACTCAAGGTCTCGAGACTGGTATACTCGATAACTTTGTTAAGATCTTTACATACAAAGCCATCAAGTAAGCACCTCCCTACATAGAAAGTGCGTCGGTCTAGCTAACTTTAATTGAAGTTTCGCATGGATCGACTCCGGCGTGTTTATCATGTATGTGCCATATGGAGTAGCTATTAAAGACACAAATGGCAACGTTCAGCAGCAGGGAATCGATCAGGACTACTGCCAGAGTAGCTTGAAGGATACTGATAATCTTGGAACACTCACCATCTGCGACGCTCCTGGTGGAATGGCCAGGATATTTAATGCGGGCGTAATCAACCCGTACGAATGTCTTTCCCAAACACCCTGGAATTATTTGTTGCTGATAGCCTCTCCTTTCTTCCAGCGACCAGAATCTCATGCCAACCACCCCGCAAGGATGGAGCGAACCCTTTTCCGTCCTTCCCAGTGAACCCTTCAATATCACAAGTGCGATCAAGGGTTCAGTCGCCTCATGGCAAGTTGGTGACTTCAACTACGATGCCGCAAGCCAATACCAAGATGCATTCAGCTCGGGCCAGCCCCTCACATCGGATTTAGTCAAGGCACTGCAGGCTCTCGACATCGCACCAGAGACGGCCGGCTTCTTCAACATTCCTGTCTGCGCAACGTACGACCTTCGATTCTTCCCACCCGCTGCTTCATCGGGAGGCCCTGGCTGTGAGTACTTGGTTGCCCTAAATGTACAAGGTGAAGCGGCACTAACGATCACAGTCTCCTGTAACGCCTGCGGTCAAGGGCTGGGCGGAAAGCCCGGCTCCAGCGCCAAATTCTGGGACAATGCGAACGAAATCGTGCAAGCTGCCCTCACGGCCCCTCCCCCGTGCACGCAGGCATATGAGACGACAGTCTGTGTACAAATCTGTCCGAGCGATCCTTATGGCCCAACTTCCGGTACGTTTCGTCGACCTCCTATGCCTAATTTCTGTGCCCAGTTCACAGCCTGCCGTCATCAACACTGCCAAAGCTAACCAAAATCTCTCACTAGCCCAAAACGTCGCCGGCGGCTACGCACCCGGCTGGTGCGGCGTGCACGTGATCCAATACCAACTCAACCAAGGTCCCGGAACGGACACGAGCCATTACAGACTCACGGTCACAATCTTCGACTCCAACCAGGTTGAAATCAGCACCTCAAATGACACCGTCGTTGAGTCACCTCGGGGTGCTTGGACTCCATTTTACAGTAAGCTACCAAGTACGCTGAACATCCAGGTCGGGGCGGTCGATAGCGATCCGCTGTGGTTTGAGTACCCCGGTCAAGGGAATTGGCAGACGGGTGATCAGCAGCATCATTGTAACTTTGGGGCATATAGTGGAGGAAGCCGGTCTGGCAATTGTGGTTTTACTTGTACTTAGACACCAGCAGCTATAGATTTCCCAATTTCGACACCCGGTTCTAGTTCCCGAATACTCCCGGAAGGTAAATAGCGACCGGGTCTTTCTGAGCCTGTTTCATCTGATTTTGAAATCCCCGTCTCGGAAAGATACCCCAGGGCCAAAAAAGAAGGCCCCAACTCCCTCCTTTATCCGTCCCACTACTGCCTCACCCCCGAGACCTGCACATGAAACGCCGCATACATGAATTTCTCCTTCCCCATCACCGGCGCACTTCCCCCAATGCCCCTATACGCCGGCGGCTGACACATCGCGAGCACCCGCTCCATCTTGACCACGACGTCGCGCATCGAAAACCTCGATTCCCACTTTCCGCTCACGATGCGCAATTTGAACCCTGCATCTGCCATACCGGCTCGCGGAATCCCGGGATCCAGAGTTTGGGGAGATGAAAGTCGGGATTGCTGACGAAGTGGTTGATGATGGGAGAGCAGGATTGGAGGGTGACACGGGGAGACTCGAGGCCGTAGTAGCAGATGATGGCTCAGTCGTCTGTTAGGGTGGGGAGGGTTAGATTGGACGATAGATGGCTTTCTTTCCGTGCACCGTAGCTAGAATCCACTGTGAGTCGCGTTTCAGTTCCTGCAGTTCCCATTGTCGGGACCCAAATGCTCTCGCGCGGCTGTCTGTATGTCATAAGCGCACGCTTGTTCAGTGCCTTTTTGGTTTACGCGATTTCAATGACTCGTGGACTTGAAAAGAGCCAAGCCAGACCAATCGCCTCGCCGTACGAATGGCTTACAACATATTCAGCATCAAGAACCCGCGAAAGAGCGATGGTCTTTTCAATCGATCGTTGGTACTTCGGCACGCAGAGGAGCTGTCTCCTCCGAAAGCCCGATGATGGAGTATTGAAACACGTTTTGCTAATATCTGGAAGCAATGAAGAAGGGAAGGGCTGAAGTCTACTGATCTGCAAGAAGGAGTCAGGGGTTGTTGAAGATTACGAATCAAGAAGTTGAGATGTTGTGTGTCAAAAAGCAGGGATGGTGTCTTGATTACGTCGCCACCAGTACCGAACTTTAGCGCTGGCTGAGTTATAAAGATTTACTCAACCATCCGTTCTGTCACGGTTCCAATGACCTTACTGACCTTACTTGTGTTATGGCCCAATTGGGCTTAGCGTGCCAAGGCCTTTCGGCCTTTCTACCTTGCTGTGAAACCCACACTTGTAATAATCCTACATAGATAGTATTCTCTTTATACTATAATATAGAGTTATTATATATACCATTAAGTCTCTAATATAATACTATCTATCTTTCTTCTAGAGCGGTAGCGATTTACTTACTAGTTATACTAAATATATAGCTAAGAAGAGAGTATATTATTAAGAAGTCAGTAGTTATAGCTGAAGAAGCTTACTACTCGAAAGATCATTTAAAAGAAAGCCTTTCACTTATATAAAGGTTAATCTGACTAGATTAAATAAGAATCTAAAGAAAATAAATATCTTTAGTATATTAAAAGGAATAGACTCTAAACTAAACCTCCTCCGTACTTCTATTAGCTTAATATTAGCTATAAACCTCTTAATCTTAAATCTAGATAACACTTAAAGTTAAATCATTATAAGTGAGTTACAGACACGACATCGTTTAGAAGAACTTAAGAACTTCGATAAGAAGGTTCTAAATACTAGTGAAGCTGGATCGTCCGCATGACGTAAGAGAAAGCGTTCTATTATTAGAAGATATATTATCGAATCTAGTTTAAGTTACACCGAAGTATAACTTACAGATATTATCGAAGAAGAGTTAACTATAATCTTTACCTTTATTATTAATTTATAGGATTTTATAAAAAGCGCTATCGAAACTTCTAATGCTTAATATAATAAATTAAAGATATTAATAGAAAGCTTTCGAACTGCTAGTCGCAATATTAAGGTGCTTTAGTAATAAAATAAAGAACTTAGCTATAATATCGCTTAAGCTAAGACGGAGGTATTGGTAATTATTATCTAGCTAAGTAATAGTAATAGCTAATTATTCTATAAGCGAGAAATTAATAATAGACTCTAAGGTTTACGTGATAGATATCGTATTAATACTACGGAACTTATTAAAGAAAATAAGAAATTTAAGTAAGACTTAAGATATAAAGAGTAATAGTTGAAGGAGCAATAACCTCTTATATTAGCTAATTTAGAAAATTTTGATAAGAAAGATATAGAGGTTATATCTCGTTAGCCGAGTATCTTCGTTAGTAGCCTTTATCGAAACTTATATTATACTCTTATTACGGATCGCGTAGAGAGTATAGAATTAAATAAATGATATCTCGATATCTCGAATTTTCATAATATTAATAATCGAGATAAGTGGGATAGCTAGCGTTAATATCTTAAAGCGAAGTTTAGATAAAGTGCTATAATCTTCCTTACTAAACTTAAGAAAATCGATTATATATAAGATTATTATAAATTTACTATATATAACGTTATTAAAATAAGAGTAGACGAAGATATCTTAGATCTATATTAAATTATTTAAGAAATAATCGATGAACTAGATAATATATTCGGAATATATAATAAGATTATTAAATCGAATATTAAGATATTTAATCTTAAATTTAATATAAGAGTAATAGATAAGAAGAAATCGTTTAAGAATTTCTACGCATAATTCTCTATAGCTATCGCTCTCTTAAGATTTACTAATATTTATAAGATATTTAATCTAAAACGATTAATCTTCATATATCTGAGATATCGGATTTCAGAATAGCCTTTTAATACTTTCCGAGAATTAATTATTTTTCTATAAATACTAGATATAAATCTTCGAGCTATTAATAACGCGTTAGATTTAAAGAGTAAGAAAGAGATTAATAAAACTAATAATAGTTATAAAAACTTTACCCCCTCGAATAATCAGCGTAATCCTTTCTTCACTAAAAGAAATAATAATATTATTATCGAAAATTCTCGTATATGAGAATATAAGTATTTCAAGCTATTGGTGGATAGAATCCGAAAAGAAAATAGATGTTTTAAGTATCTGAAAATTGAATATTGTTTTAGTAATGATAGTACTTCATATAAAAACGTAGATTTATTAATAAAAGAATAGGTCGATATAGTTCTAAAAGTCGTCGGCGTAGAGGAGAACGTCTTCGCCGAACTATTATAAGAATTAGAAAACTAAACGTCTCTAATTAAGTCGCCGTTAGAGACCTGAAAACCTTATATATAAAGATTAAAGAGTTAGAAATAGAAAGAACACTCGCTTTCATCTCTCTATCCGCGTATGCTATCGCCACCGAAGCCTCTTTATAGAATAAACGCTAATTAAACTTTTATAGGAAAATTATTATATTAATAGAATAGATTAAAACTAATTATCTCTCAGATATTAAAGCTTTAGCATTAAACTTTGTAGATATATCTTTTATTAAAGTAAATAAGCTACTTAAAGTAGTATTAGTATAATCTTACAGATTACGATTAGCCGATAATAAACCTACTTTTATCTTTAATATTATATATATGATCTTAGTGAAACTTATCTTAGAAGATTATATAGAAGAACTTTAATACTTAATTACCTTATTAAGACGATTTAATATTATTCTAGAAATACTATAGCTAGAATAGTATAACTCTTATATATTCTTTAGATCTAGAATTATTACTTTTAATTCAGACTACTATATATTTAACTATTTATTATATAGTAAACTCGTTACTATTTAGAGTAATAATAAGTCTTTAAAAAAGGATTTAAATTATATAGCAAAGACTATATTTAAGGAAAAGGATATAATAGAGATCTTCGCCTATATCTTTATTAAGATAGCTAAGAAATTAGAGAATTAAGTTATTACTATATAATTTTAAGACTTCGAATAACTTTCTAACTCTATCAATAAGAAAGCGAAGTTTATTATTAACGTCGCCGTTATTATAATAGAAGATTATGAGAAATTCTTTTATAAGCTAAGAAAGAAACCTCTAACTATAAAATAGCTATAAGAATAAGTTTCTATAGCATACTACGAATAACTAAACATTTAAAACTCAATTAAAGTTAATAAACTTCCCCCTTATCGCTTTATTAACCACGAAATATATCTTAAGAAAGAAGCTATTTCACTATTAAAAAGGGCTTATAGGCTCTCTAAAGACTAAGTATTAGTTATAAAGAAATATATCGATAAGATATTAGAAAAAGGCTATATTAAACTAAGTACTTCTCTCTACGTAGTATTTATTCTAATTATAAAGAAACTCGATAGGGGATTTAGACTGTGCGTAGACTATAGAGCTCTTAACGCACTTACTATCCCTAATTAAAATATCCCCTTATTAATTAAAGAGACTCTCGCTAAATTATACGCGGTGAGAATATATAGCAAATTCGATATTATAGCCGCTTTTAACGAAATTAGAGTAAAAAAGAGTTATAAAGAAAAAACTGTATTTCTTACTCGGTATAGCCTATTCGAATATATAGTAATACCTTTCAGATTGTATAATGCCTCTACCACTTTTCAGATATTCATTAACGATACCTTACGCGAATATCTGAATATATTCTATACTATCTATTTAGACGATATCCTTATCTATAGTAATATTAAAAACGAGTATATTTAGCACGTAGAAAAGATATTAAAAAAACTTCGATAAGCTAACCTCTATCTTAATATTAATAAATACGATTTTTACGTTATTAGAGTTAAATATCTAGAACTAATTATTATAACAAAAGAAGTAGAAATAAATATAAAGAAAATTGAGGCTATTACTTAATAAAAGGAATCTAGGTATATTAAAGATATATAAGTATTCCTGGAATTCGCTAATTTCTATTAGAAGTTTATTGCGAAGTACTCTAAAATCGTCGTATTTTTAATAAACTTTACTCGTACTTAATAAAAGAAAGACTTTGTCTACTCGTAGGCTTAAGAATATCCTAAATAACTCGCTTTTAAAACGCTTAAGAAAGCTTTTACTACTATCTCTATACTTACTTACTTCGATCTAAATAAAAAGATATAGCTAGAAACGAATGTGTCTAATTTTGTAGTTGCTACTATTCTATCGTAAGAAGATAAAGATAAAGTACTTAGATCTGTGATATTTCTCTCTAAAAAGATGTCTTCTATAGAGTGTAACTACGATATTTATAATAAGAAACTTATAGCTATAGTATAGACCTTCGAGAAATAATATTCTAAGCTAGCTGATATCTCTATCGAGAATCTTATTAAAGTTATTTTAGATTATAAGAACTTATAGTATTTTATATTTTTTAAATAACTTAACTTCCGCCAAATAAGATAAGCGGAGTTTCTTTTCGAATTTAACTTTTATATTATCTATCGCTTAAGGAAATAAAGTACTAAATTTAATAGCCTTACTCGACGAGTAGAAGACTTATTTAAAAATAAGAATAACGATTATATTCATTATCGATATTATATAATTCTTAAAGATAATAATCTTAACGAAGGTATTAAGAACGCCGTGTATTTTACTATTATATTTCTAAACGATATAAGAGAAAGTATTATCTCTCTAACTATAATACTATATAAACTTAGCGAATAAGACGATATTAATGATAAGAAGTCTAATAAAGAATTATTATTAAGGGCCTCGATAGAGACTTCTTAAGAGGAGTCTATAGAAGAATCGAGAGAAGTCTCTACTACTAATACTTCTGAGTTATTATATCAAATAAGAAACGCTTATAATCACGATAACACCGCTTAAAAAATTATTTAATTAAAGATATCTAAATAGAGGAAGCTACCACTTAAAATGATTAAGAATAACCTCAAGTTAAAATTAGGTGATTATTATCTTCACGACGAATTATTATATATTAATAATAGATTGTATATATTAGACGTTCTCGAATTACGAATTAAGATTATTAGAGATATTTACGACTCTCTACCCGAAGGCTACGCTAGTAGATTATTAATTTATAATAGATTAAGTAGATACTACTATTAACTAAGAATAACGAATTTCGTTACTCGCTATATTAAGAGCTGCCATATCTATAAGAGATTCAAAACTTACAGAGAGGGCAAATAAGGTCTACTTAAATCTCTTCTTATTCTCGAATAATACTAGTAAGATATTTCTATTAACTTTATTACACTATTATCTATCTGCCTTAGATATAGACGCTTCTATTAATATATTATAATGATTATAAATAGACTTAACAAAAAGAAGAAATTTGTTTTTTTAGACTTCTTGAAAGTAGAGGTAGTAGTTTAGGCTTTTATCGAATTCATATGGCGAGAGAAAGAATATCTATTTATTATTATCTCGAATCGAGATATTTAGTTTACGATATATTTCTAAAGAAGACTATATGAAAGGATTAAAACTAAACTTAAACTCTCTATTGCGTTTTACCTCGAAATTAATAGATAGATAGAGAACGCTAACGCTGTTCTAAAATAATATCTTAGAGCTTATGTTAATTATAATTAAGATAACTAAGTAGATCTATTATTAATAGTAGAGTTCGAGGCTAACTTCGATAAGAACACCTTATCGAGTATATTACTATTCCTTCTTATTAAAGAATATATTCCCCGCTTAGAAATAGAACTCTTTATCTTTTAGAATTAATTCGCTAATTAAAGAGCGAAGAGAGATATTAAGTTAGTTAATAAGTTTATCGAGAAGATAGATGTTATAAGAAATTATCTAAAAAGTTAACTCGAATAGTTATAAGCTTTATAGAAGGAATAAGCTAATCGTTACTGGCTCTTTATATTAGAATTTAGAGTCGAAGATATAGTTATACTTAATAGAAGAAATATTAAAATCGTATACTCTAGTAAATTACTAGATTATAAGAATTTCGAATTATTTAAAATCACTAAAGCTTTAAATAATTTCGCTTACGAGTTAGAACTCTCGACTTTTATAAATGATATTCACTCTATCTTTTATTTATAGCTATTATATCTCGATAATAGCGATCTACTACTAGAATAGATCGAGCCTTCGCTACCTTCTATCGATATTAATAAAGAAGGCGAAATTTACGATATTGAAGAAATAATTCAATTTAAATTAAATAAATGAAAAAATGACTCTTTAACTAGTAAGAGGGGATATCTGATATATAAAATCAGGTATAGAGGCTCTGAGATCGAGGAAAATCTATTCTAGTAATTATTTACGGATGTAGCAGGATATCCGAATTTGATAGCAGATTTTTATTATTATCACCCCGAGGCCGTTAGCCCTTATTTATTATTCAAAAAACCTTCGGAATAATTTCCTCTATTAGCGCTACTAATTTATAGCAGCTATATCGACTTATAAAAAGACCTCGAACCCGTTACGGAATACTAAGTTAATGCACCTAAGGATGTTACTTCGTATACGCCTAGATATGCTTTCTATAAGATCGGTGTCTGCTATGTAGTAGTCGTTGCCGGAGCTCTGAATTAAAGGGGGGGGTAATGTCACGGTTCTAATAACCTTACTGACCTTACTTGTGTTATGGCTCAATTGGGCTTAGCGTGCCAAGGCCTTTCGGCCTTTCTACCTTGCTGTGAAACCTATACTTGTAATAATCCTACATAGATAGTATTCTCTTCATACTACAATACAGAGTTACCACACACACCATTGAGTCCCTGACACGTTCCTTCGCTCATTGCACGTTTCTGTAGGTACAACTTATGATACGTAATCAACCATAATCCTAAACCCGCAAAATGGATCACCCCATATGCGAGAGACGTTGGATACTCATAAAGAGGCCCCATGAACTTGCCATGAAACCCTTCATAAACGTCCCTCAGCCTCTCAGAGCTTCAGACCCTTCTGCAACTCAGCTTCCTTCCACTTGAAAGCATTTTCCACCACTCTTCTCATCCCCGTTGACATGACCACTTTTTCCGCTTCCTCCCTATCAGCCCATATGCCCATCGAATGTTCCTCCGGATCGACTTGGAACGCCAGCCCCTCAACCTCGCAGACGAACGTGATTTGCAAACTTCTAGATTTCGTCACTGAGTTGCTTTCTCCCTTCTGCACCGATCTCGTTGTGACCCAGACGAGTGGGTCGATCTGGTCGATAATACCCTGGACTAGCATGGTTGTCTCCTCGAGTACTTCTCGCTTCAAGCCGTGGAAAATGCTCAAGTCGGTATCTTCAACATGGCCACCGGGAATCGCAAACATTCCTGGGAACGCATGGTCATGTGCGGCGCGTTTGAGGAGGAGTAATCTGTGAGTATTCGCGGTGGAAGGCTTAAAGATGATTGCTCCGACTGTGAGGTTGTTGTAGCCGAGTGAGGGAGAATATTGCGCGTGGAATTGCGCCTTGGTCAAGGACAACAGGCCCGTAAGAGGCATCCTGGGGACTAAGGTTTTCATGGTTTGCGTAGGTGTTGCCTCGCGGTACTTACATGCTGTCTGAGCTGGTGAAGCCCCTTTAGCCTTGAAGTGTGGGTGTTCTTGAATGGCGTTGAGAAAGTCGAAACCTTTTTCGAGGAATCGATCTTGATGTGAAGTATTACTGGGTACTCAAGAGCTTCACGTGTTTATATAGGCTGTCGATTGCCTGAAGGTGTTGTCAGAAGCATGCAAGAGGAGAACTGTGTTGATATTTCCCGGATCTCTAAATTTCAATGCTGTGTTGAACGGCTCAGTTGCCTAAGAATGGGTACTACTCCTGGGTTCTTCGCAGTCGATCCTTTGTGCTCTTTTTTCACTCTTCCACCCATATGATTTTCTTCACAGTCGCGGCAGTTTTTCCCAGGGATCTCAGAAAGAGACACGGGGAATCACTACCTGAGTGGACCCTAAGCCATGGATGCCAAATGATAGGCAAGATTAGATAGAGAAGGCCATAGAAAATAGGGCCGGCTGTAGCAGTAATTATGCTCTCAACAGCTAGCTTTAGCTTTCAGCAAAGAGAAGGGGGGGGGAGGGCATCTAACGAAATTCAATTTACCTCTGATTTTACCTCGAACCGCTCATAAACCACGTGGACTGAATCTGTCTAGGGAGATTACGATGATAATACGACACCAAATGGTGTTGCAATGGTCACAGGCTCTCCACAGTCAGACAGTGTGGAGATCATTGGCCAGGTCCTCAATGAATAGTTCCCTAACAGAGGACGAAAAGGTAACGTGAACTTCATCCCAGCTGTCTGACCGTCAGAACCCGTTTCTGCTGGTCTTTCAAAGACTGAATTTCCTCAAGCTGTCGGAGAAGACCAGGGGATCGAAAGATGTTACAACAAAGTGTGTCCAAACATCCCAAAAGTCAGGCCACTGTCATTATGCCATACCATACCCAATTTGCCCAAACTTCCACGCACGAGCTTTCTATTGCACAGCTCAAAATATGTTTCCACGAGGCTTTGTGCAATCAGCAAAGGTACTTGAGCCATCACGTTCAATCCTGCCAAACCTGCTAAAGCCTTTGCAATCGACAAATTCTTCTTTCCGAGCAATCGTCTTTCACCCATCAAGCGACCATGAGCGAATACTAATAAGGGCTGGTGCACCTCAACACTCTCCCGCAAGCCTCACTGCTGAGAGCAAGTTCCATTGGATCAATACAGCCATCGAAAGCAGCAACGCTACTACGATGCCAACGTCGACCGTTCCTGATGTGGCGTTGGTAGCCGCTAACACATTGTACGTGAGGGAAGTCAACCAAAGATAGCGCCAGAGGCGAAACGGCACAAGTCACAAAGGACTCTCAAGCTTAAGCTCTGCGAATCATAACGCCAGAATGGAGGGAGCGCCAGAAAGCGGACGACGAACAGGAAGTCGCCACGTCGACTCCGTAAGCCAAGGATCTCCAGCCAGGGATAGAGCAGCGCGAGATTATCGGTATGATGGAGTTGAAGGTCATGAGCGAGATGGCAGCGGGTGTTGGGATATCAGTTTAACCCGACATGCTAACAGTGGAAGGCCGAGTCTTGTCAGCCCCTCAGGTAAAGTGAAACTGAGACTCAGACCTGACTTCGGCTTATGGAACCGGAAGGAAGATCGTAAGCTCATATTGGGCACCGAGATCACGAGATGGACCTACCGGAGATTAAATTCACGAACCAATATACAAACAGCAGCCAAGTCAAGGGATTCGTCGAAAAGCTTGAGATATCATCCAAGTCTACGATCTGCACGCATCGAACGGACCCTCCACCTCTGTTCTTGAACTCCACGTGTCCGGAGAAGCAATTCATTGATCTGGACAGATTCTTCAGTCAATGTCGAGAAAAGCAGCTCAAGACTCTTCTCCTCGTCCTTCCGGACGACCGACAGACACTCTTCGCGTGCATCAAATACCTCGCAGATGTGAGATGTGGCATACAAACCATCTGTCTTGAGGCTCCAATACTGCAGCGCATCGGAAGGTCCTGGTACGCAGCGAACATCGCCCCAAAGCTCAATACCAAGGGCGGAGGCATTGACCAATGTCTGCCAAACCTTGTCGGCAAACGCACCCGTTGCTACATACAAACCAGTCTGATTCCCAGCAATGGAGGTAGATCTGAGAGCGGTACTGCTAGCTTCAGTGAACAGGCTTGACAATGGACAAGAGGTGTCCACCTGGAGCTGCAGGACTCGATGTGGTACATCTAGTGTGGCTACGCTGGGACCGGATTGTTGGTGTTTGTCGAGTTGCGAGGGAAAAGCGAAACAGAGCGAGACAGAAGAAAAGGCATGATGAGAGTGTCGACTGCAGAGAGTAGTATGATGGAGCACGGAGCATGAAACAAGGAACACGAGAGTTCGTACGACTTGGAAGAAACCCAAGAAGACAGGGAGAGAATATCGGGAGTACCGACACGCATTTGCTTCTAGATGAAACACGAAAAGATACGTACACCCCAACCCTCCTGACGAAAATTATGTGAAGCTTCCAACTAGTTGGACTCAAGTCCAGGTGATCTATATCTTGAGTACAAAAAGATAGCAGCGCTGATTCCTCCGCCCTCCCGAACCCTTCTAACGGTATCCGCCGCTTCCCAAAACCTGCCAACTATCCGCATTCAAGGCTCATCTTCCGGTCTGATAGCCTCGCCTTGCGGAAGACGCTACTATGGCGACGAGTTTTGCCCATTGCTTTATTCGCCGCTTTGGTGAAAGCCTTCTTCAGCGCCGCCTTCGCCTTCCCAGCAGTGCCGCTCTCACCACCATCCCCATTCCTTCCTGCGCCAACGATGCGCCAATCAACATCATCAGGTTGCAACCCCATCCAACCCCTTCTACCCTCCCTCCACCTCGTGGTCTCCGTCTCCGTCGTCGCAGGCCGCCGGTCCGCGGGCCGGGAACCCGGATCATGTTTCAAAATCTGCTCGCAGCGGTCAAGTAGGTGTATCGCGCCCCTTTCGTCGCGCTCTTGCGCTGCTCTTTTGTTGAAGGCGCTGGAGGCCGCAATGAGATGCGCGTTCGCTACGCCCTTCTCCTTGTCCCGCAGGGCAGCCGAGCGCCATGGTGGCATTGTGGAATTGTACGACAGCTTTGCAGATGTGCGATGCTGGAGCGCAAGGTGTCGGATTGTGATTCTGGTAAATCTGAGACGAGACAAGTGGAGACCGTAGTGTTCTACGACTCCGGCGCAAACATCCGGCACACGCATCAAGCCATTGGCAAAGGCATTAGTAGGTAGGACTTTTGCGAAAATGTGGTTATATGCGGCGTTCTGCTCTTCGGGTGGAAGGTTTGAGATACTGATGGCACCTTTGCTGATTTTGAAGTAAGGTTCGCCATGCTTGTTGTACTCGAGATATCGAGTGCTTCTGTACACGGAGAGAGGGGCTTCCGTCGGTGTTGGGAGCTCATGTATACATTCTTTGTACATTGTGCTAATTGGTGTTCTAACAGTGGTGTTGGCCATGGCTAGTTGTCCTCGCTCTGGTGCTGTGCTGATCGATGGGGTAGATGAGGGAGCAGTCGGCGGGTCTGTTTCTGGCTCCGAATCAAAGAGGATTTGCTCGGTAGTTTCGCTATCTGAATTATCGGAATCAGATTCGGAAGTACAGCTGAGTGTTGGGACTATCGCAACGCACTCATTTGGCTGTGCGTCCGCGTTTGTAAAGGTATCAAGCATGATGGCTGTCCTCGCAGAGGGAACATCATCTCCCTCGTGGCTGAACCCTCGAGAGCTCTTTTCGGGACTCCTCTTCCATGGAAAAGATGGCCTGCAATTCAACTTGCAGTGCCTGATGGTTGGGGGGCAAGCATTTTCCTGTCTAACAAGACCCCAAGGAGGTGGAGCAAACATAGTCGGTATGAAAAGTGGATGCACGCTCGCTCAAGGTCCGAACTGCTGTGTAAACAATGCCGGGTATCAGAAAGAAAACACGACGAGAAATTGTTTGCGACGTTCTGAATTTTAGATGGCTCAAGGCTCTGAGTCACGCAAAATATGTGCATTAAATGGCTTTTCATATGCGGGAAAAGAATGTTGAATATATGTCTTGGCTTTGGACGGTCTTGGCTCTCCACAGGTTCTGGGCAATTCCATCTACTTGCGAAGGTAAAGAGGCCTGACTCGTTCTCTTAAAAGTGCTGAAAACAGGATTGAAATCATCAAAGCTAGTAAATCACTGGCAAAAGCTATTCCCTCATCGTCTTCCCATTCCCTGCGCGTTTACTTCATGTCTTTGGACCTTTTTCCGCACTGCCTGATGTCATCAAGTCTCTGTCTTCGCCATAGTAAAGAAGCTCATCTTTGCCGTTGGTCCATCAAGTGTTAGTTTTTCTCACAGTCTCCGTCACTGTCACAGGATTCTCGTGGCACTCCCAGTAAGGATAGCCGTTTGGACCGTACTTCCATCGACCAGGTCTCAGGGTGAGAGGGATCATTTCAAAAGGCAAATGGACCCATGTTCCATCCAATTCGCGGCACCAGAATTCTCTGTCGGGGAGAGCTTCATCGATCATTGCATGCGCCTCTTCCCTAGTGATGGTTCTGCCAGGAGTGGTGATAGGAGGGCCGTTTGTTGAAGACATGTTTGGACGGAATTGGTGATGGAGTGAGCTTCTTGGCTGTTCCCCATATCAGCTATGTAGATCATGTGATCGGAGCCAAAGAGACCTGAGCCCTTGTGTAAATTGCGGGTGTGAACACCTGCTGTACTGACCTATTCGTTAAAGGTGTGCTGAGTATGCGTTTGACAAGTGTTAGGTCCTAGATTGGTATGCTCCGACGCAGTAACGGCGTAGCGAAGGGCATCCTTTGGACCTTATACGTGCCTTTCAACTCCGTGGTAGGGTTTCGTTGTCCTCGCAGGAGATGGTCGGCCGAAGCGTCTTTGATGATTTTGTCTGAATGGGAATGGCGGCATGATGTAGCCCGAGGATCTAGAACCCCCGTTTTTACGATACGAAAATTTTTCTGAATATGCAGAGCTAACTCAGATGGTATATCGAGAGGTTTCTCGCTCGCCGATCTTACAAGGTATTTGGTCTGGGAGCGTGCTCTGCGCATGTCGTTGACGATAGGCGCATACACATATGACATACATGTCTTATAGAGTCGATTAGGGGGAGGTTGGGGCACTAGCTGCTTCGACAGTCAGCTATAACGATGAGCGGCACAAAAGCCTTGAACTAGCCGTAGAAAGAAATACGGAGACGCAACGCTGGGTCTGCCAAATTTGGTGAGCTAAGTGCTGAGCCCGTCAACTGCGGTTGATTCTATTGCTATCCTCACCGCAGGACAGGGACATTCTTATACTCAACTATCTTTACCTCCGCAGCGAAATCGTGTTGCACCGCCAGGTAGAATCCCCTGAGTGTCCTTGGCGGAGCTGAAGAAGCTAGGGTGAGGCCTCGCGGGCCCCGGGTATCTTGTTGGTCTTACTCCTGAGCCTCGGTCACCGGTTGAAGCACAGAGCGAAGAGAATTCAGCAGCTCGGTCATGCTCGCCGGCGAACGGCACTTTCTACAACCGCAGGCCTGGGGTTCACAAAGGTCTTATCGAGCTAGAGAAGTCTTGTGGCCGAGCAGCTGCACAGAAGCACAAGGCCGATATCACCACTTGACATAAGTCCGTGTCTAGAAGCAGGGGTAGGAGACTAACGGAGGAAGATGGACATGGTCCGCTTGTCGAGGGAGAGAAACGACGGAGGTGAAGTGAAGGCTTAGCAACAAGGCTTAATCACGGAGTACGGTATGGAGGGAGATTGACTACTCTGGTAAAATGTAGAAGCTCATGATGGATCAATCGTGGTAGTACTCGAGAGCAGCCAGTGGATAGCGGTCCGAACAACTTCTACCTACAAGATCACGCTATCTTCTCTCGTCGTTCCCGCTATTCATGCATTTTGCTCATCAAGCAGCCTAGTATCCCGAATCACCGCCTTGGTTTCCGCCGTAGCCAGAGCCACCGCCCTGGTTTCCTCCGTAGCCAGAGTCACCGCCTTGGTTTTGCTGGTCGTAGTAATTGGAGGCATTGTTCTGCGCATCATGCCTCATCTTCTCACGGTCGTAGAAGTTCTCGCCTTTGGTCTCGACGAGCTTGTCGGCTTCCCCGGCTGCGAAACCGGCGATGATGTCTTTGGCCATGGTGTGATTCTCGGCGACACCTGTTATCAAAACAAGGCGTGTCAGTAATGTTGCAATTGGGTTGGATGGTGCGAGAGTGGAAGAAAGTTTGACGGGAAGAGTGAATTTGGAGGTAGGACCACAGACCATTGGCTTCCTCGTGCTGCTGGTACTTCCTCATAGCTTCCACACCTGCGGCACCGGCAAGCACTTCGTGGGTGAAGCTGCCTTGGTTATCGGGCTGAGGCCCATCTTGTCCGTAGACGTCTTGGTGGGCCTGCGAAGCGTCGTCTGAGGGTTGTGTGAGCTGATGATCAAAGGTTACAACACTGTAAAGATGTGATTATGACTTACCCCAACCGAACATATTGAGAGAATTCGAGTATTGGGTTGTGTTTAGATATGTTGCTTGTATGAGTGTAGGGTAGGATGGGGTATGAGTGTGAGTGTGTGTGTGTATGTGTGAGTGAAGAAGAAGATAAAGAAGAAGAAGAAGAAGAAGAAGGAGAGATGCTGGAGTTGGAGGGGTAATTGTTGATGTGAAACTTGGCAGGCCAACAGGATTTGGACCCCTGGAAGGTGGGGGGAAAAGGGGTTTTAGTGGGGTTATGATGTAAAATGATGCAACCGTTGTTGTTGATTGGCTCCATCATACATGGTATTTGGACTCCGGTTAATCTAATCTCTTGGCACACTCTTGGAAATTACATGTACTTATGTACATTCACTTTGCCAATGGACCATAAAGTACTTTCATTACATCTACATCCCATTGACGGCCTAGTCCTCTCTACATCTAGAACTACGACGCTCAGTATATATTTTTTTTCGCTGTCAAGCTCCTTCAATCCTCCAACACCGTTCGTGGGAGGAAATTTTCAGCAGCGTGGTAGCGAGCCCAGAAGATGATCTGAATTCTGCACATCATGCCAGGATACTCAGTGCACTTAGATGGGAATCCGTGACCGACATCTTCTCTCGGTGTCGCTAGGATTGGGTTGTGTGACAGTCAGCCTCCCGAGTTGCCATTGTGGGCAAGCACTCGGATGTGGTCTCGGGTCTTGTCAGAAACGCCGCATCAAAAGCAACCCACGAATATCTCTCTAACGAATCTGGGGCTTCATCTTAAAAGAACCCAGCCGGAGTCTTACGAGCCGTCAAGAAAACATCATTGATACTAATCAGTATCCACGGCTCCCAATGAGCGTGACGCCAGTATTCGACTTGCCTACATTGCATTTGCAAACGAGATCAGATACAAACCCTCAGAGACATCACAATGCCACGCGAGTCTTTTGTCGTTGCTGCGCACTCTCCGACGTTGTCGACTCTGCTCACAGAGCGAACATAGCAAGGGTTGTGGCTTGCATCTTACTCTCCACAAATGTCGCCTATGTTCATTTCTCAAGACTACCTGTCCAAGGCAAGAGGAAAGTCAAATCGAAGCATTCTATCAGTTTACGCTAGACGGGGGATACGAAGCTCTTGTGGATGTGGCTTTTTCGATATCTTCGCATATGCTCTCAGATCTGGCCGGATTCCGCAAAGCGCCTCTCTCGGACGTTGATTAGCTTTTTGGCTGTGATTCCCTTCTCTCCGTGTAATCTTCCCCGTACCTAATCCTTAGAGGTTAACCCTAACCCTAACTTGTCCGTAGGGGCTTTCTTTCGCGCCATTGAGGGGTGGGGGGGGGGGGGTCCGCGACGGCGTGGTAGGAAGGACGGTAGGAAGGACAGTATAGCCATGGGAGGTAATAGTAGTAGTGGTAAGAAGGAAGGCCTTCTAATTGGATAGATTTGCTAAGAGATGTAGAATATCGACACGAGAAATCCACCAAATAGGCCGATTTTCTTCACCAAAGGTACCCCAGGGTACCATTGGTGGATGGCGTGGATTTTTGAGATTGTGGGGAAATAAGTGATTTGCCACCAACTGGCTTAAAAAAAGTGGTCTGAAACTCCTTAATGGTGTTGCGGTGCTTTTTATTTTCTGGTAGCGCCATTAGCTATAGGTTTTAAAGTTTCGTTGAACGGTGTTGGCGAGGGCTTAATCCTATACGACGTATTAATTTGTAAAGCGAAATGTTCTCCGTTAATTATAGTCCGAGGGCGGACACCTGTTGGTTATGGTCGTGTTGTTGGGGGTATTTAGTTCGTATTAGGTTCGATTCTTAATGGCGCTGGTACAATGGTGTTGCGGTGCTTCTTATTTTCTCTGGGTGGAAACGATATCCTACTCAAAGGCTTCTGGATTGTTCGAATAATCTACCAGGCAACGAGCCAAGGAACCGATATGGGAGCTGAAGATGCCTTCTATCTGACCGAGATATAACAACCGTCATCATCGTCCAGTTGAAGCCGTTCTATTAGATATAGACCACTATACCCGGTTCTGCTCAACATGGGTCGGAGTGCCTCAGTCCCCAATGTCGGCTTTTCTCGCATAACATTGTCAAAAAATAGCAGCATCGTCATTGGAGTCTGCTGCTTTGTGTTCACTGCAGTGTTCTATTCCGCCACCCACCTTACGAGTCTCGGATCATTCATGACAGAATGCTCCCCAGGGGCTGAGTCGACCGGTCAGTATCAGCAATATCTGCTGTGGACGCTACAAGCACCGTCGGAGAAGGAGTCACTGCAAGCTCCGGAAGTTGCACATCATGAAATCCAAATGGATGAACACAAAAGCGCGAAGCCGACACAGGGTCCAATGCCAGTGCCGAAGATCCCTTCAAAGGCAGCTCGAATTGCACATGATGCGACTATTCAATTACAATATGCTATGAACAGCTCAACCATCTCTAGGATTGAAGGACCTAATCTATTCAGCATGGCCAAGCATGTATCAACCTTCGCTCGCCTGCTTGAAGCGATCCTTACCGACGTTTCCATCGATAGGAGACCCTTCCTTGACTTGCGGGAGAGGTACTTTGGCTGGTGGAAACCCTCTACCACTACGCATCTTCCATGGGAGGCCAAAAATCACACGACTGGCATAGTGCTAACCGCTGGCCAAGGAAACATGGTGCTTGCGGCGCATGCCATACGAACGCTTCGGAATGTGGTCAACACCACTCTGCCGATCCAAGTGGCTTATGCTGGCGATGACGACCTACCGGCACACAAGCGCCAAGAAATGAAAACGCTCGACCCAAAGCTCGAGCTAATCAACATCCTCGATCACTACGACGAAGATATTGCGGGACTACGCGTTGGCGGTTACGCGATGAAGCCTTTCGCTGCGCTCGCAAGTAGCTTTGAAAGAGTCATCATCATTGATGCAGACACAATATTCATGCAGCGCCCGGACGAGTGGTTCGAGGAGAATGCGAGTCTGAAACAGACAGGAACCCTGTTCTTCCATGACCGGGCTTACGGCGGCCGGAGAACAACGGACTGGGTAAAAACCCTCTTGAAAGAGAGTGGACGAAGGCCAAGTGCAACGCTCAACTCGAGCATGTTTTGGCAGGAAGAGCTGGAGCATCAACAGGAATCCGGTGTCGTGTACTTCAACAAGGCCATCCCGGGTGCCTTCATGAGCCTGTTATTCACGACGTACATGAATTCGCAGAACGTGCGAGCGCACCTCTACGGGCATGTTGCTGGTGCGGAAGTCCCACCCACGAAGAAGGCGCAGTCGCGATAACCCGATGCTAATGTTCCTGCTCTAGGTGACAAAGAAACCTTCTGGCTGGCCGCCGAACTCGCGGACATTCCCTACGCATTCCACCCGAGCTATGCCGGCATCATAGGCCCCATCTCCGCCAACGCCGAAGGCCTTCCAGAGATCTGCAGCCCGCAGCCACTACAAACCGACCTCGATGGCCGGCCCTTTTGGTTCAACTCTGGCCTCATGGAAGACAAGATGAACGCGGATAACAAGAAGTATGCCAATCTAACCCACTACATACCAGGAGTTACGAACGAGCAGCCAGTGGGTGGGTGGAGGTTTATACATGATCATACGTTCTGTATGGGGAGGTATGTGGAGCAGATGAGGTCGGTTAAAGACGCAGGGCTGGAAGAGGTGGCGAACGGGTTGATTGACGAGGCGAGGGCGGTGGATAAGATTTTCGAGGCTAAGACAGCGTAAAGCTTACTGGACTATCGATCGCTGAAAGGGCACTATTTCTCAAGGTGCGCTCGTCGTTTCAAATGCGATCGTGGACGAGAGTACAATCGCACATGTTGGGAGCTCTGATTGTAGACTGGCATTGTTGATAGGACTTTGTTCAGCCGTGATGATATCTATCTCTATAAATTCTTAATCGCGCACAGCCTGTAACTTAGAAGCTGGTGTATTCGGTGACAGCATTACACTTTAGGTTATGACACTCCAAGTCAAAACCAAACGCCCCAAAAGCCTCGGACTATGGTGAGCACCCGCTGTGGCCCGCAACAGACCCGACGGTTCGGACAAGCCGAATGAAAGCAGAAGCCAAGGGTATTTTCGAGTGACATCTGATACCGAGCCCTCCAGCGTTCCCGAAGTTTTTCCTGAAGATACTTCCTGTCTTGCTTTAGATCTGGGTATGGAGGAAAGCGCGCCTTTTCCCGCCAAGCTCGTGGAAAGTCTCGAAAACGCCTAGTCGCCTTCAACCGTCTTGGATAGGAAGCCATGTCTTGCAGATGCTCTTCTCGCTTTTTCCTGACAAAGCTGCAACTTCCTTCTTCCCTTCAACATGTTGACATTGAAAAGTTCAGTTTCAAACGGCATCAACTTCCCCTTCCAAGCCTCCCACCGCATACGAGGCCCGAATGTCATATCTAACGAGACTATTCCTGACGTGCTCTCTGTCTATCCGTATTTGCTTGCTCAAGGCGAGTCTGTCTCCCTGAAAGCGAACAGTAAGGTCGAAGACCTCACTCGAGAACTCGAGAACAACAGCATCATCTACTTGACGTCCAGCATCAAAGCCTACACACAGCCACGAAGCTGCAAAAGACTTGGATTGATGGTTTTGGCAGATCGAAACGGCCGACCTGCACACCATGGTGCATCAGCCACACCACTACGTGCGATATCAATTCGACTAGAAGGGACTTGAGGAGGGTTTAGGCCTGCCGAATACCATCCCACGCAAGTTGGAATGTTTGACGTTGCAGGGTCTATTGGTGTAGCCTCTTGCTACAGTCAAAGACGCCTTGGACCCCAACGAGCCCATACCAGATACACATGGCTTCTACTTCACCCATTCCGAACGAGTGCGCACAGCCGTGTGGATCTTTTACCAATTCAGCAAAGATCCAACGGTAGAGCAAATGTCCCTGTATAATGCCCCTGACCCACTTACAACTCATGTATCCAAGTTTCACCCCGTCCTCAGTCCCGCCAGCTCTCTATTCCCGCATTTGAACCAATTCGCCGTGTCAGTCCAGAGTACCCTTCTCAATACAGCGTCTCCGACCATTAATCACCCTGCAGACCCGCCGCAAAAGCTCTTCGCCTTTCGCCGTACCCATACCCAGCACGTCTGCCTCGAGCGCTGGAACCAGCATCTCCTCTTTTTCGTCATCTGCTATTTCATCCACCACTTTGTCCACCACAAGTAGCTCCGTGAGAGAAGCGAGACGGGTTTTGCTGACCGTTACGACTAGACCAAAAGGTGATCACTAGTAGTCCGTCACTAAACAGTAACTTATACTAGTTGTAGGCTTGAAAGCGTACGACCGCTTTCCCACACACATCTGTGAGCAGCGTGTCCGCATCAATCTCGTCATCAAATTCGCCATGTCGCTCTTCATCTGCCACATCGTTCAGCTTTCCCTTCAAGCATCGAGGTAGTAGACAGAGCGATAGATGACTGATTAGGAGGAGTGGATCGATATAGGTCCATTAGGATTCGGACATGTCTCCCCAAGTTCTATCATGGCATCATCCTCGTGGTCCAAAGGCGCGGCGTTGGGCGTCAAACGAGAAAAGGTAGGTATTGTTGAGATTTATGAAACACGTTTCAAATAGTTTTATAAGTAAAAGGTTTGAGATGTGTGAAGTGCAAGGGCTATCATCTCTCCGGTTTCGGAAATACCACGAGGGCAAAGCTGATCCAATAATGTTCTGCTTGCCTGGCATTGAAATAAGCGCCGCCAAGGCCGTCAAATGTACGTAGATTCTGGACCAATGACCATCCAATGGTGCTCCAGCGAGTGGCGCTAGCTGCGCCACGACGCCACGACGCCACGAAGAAAATGACGAACGGGAAGCGGGAAGCAGCAGGCACAAGGCACACACGAGACCAGGAAAGATCAAATTTGGGTCATGGGTGACATAGGTATTATGTATTGCCAATTTTACTTAAGAACCTGCTTTCCTCCCTTTTCCCAAACATGCATTTATCTTTCCCCCTATTCTCCCTCTACACTCTACCTACACCTCATTTTTGTCCCCCCTATTTCCTTTCGAATAATTACAGAACCCATCTCTTGACGAGAAGCCCAAGATACAACACATACAATCCCTGCTACCACCAGTACAATATCTAATAAGCAATGCTTGACATAATACTCATCGCGCTACGCGCCGTGCAGGCTCTCTTCGCCATTATAGTCCTCGGACTCACCGCCCATGGTACGTCTGCTCTGACTTCCCTCTCTTCCCATTTCCCCCATCCCACTACCGCCGTGTGTGTGTGTGAGAGAGAGAGAGAGAGAGAGAGCGCGCGAGCCCAGCTAACCACCCCCCCACCAGTCGCATCCTACGGCTTGACCCCCTCCTCTGACAGTTTCATGGTGTTTGCCTCCGTCTGGACGCTCCTCATCCTCATCTATCTCGCCCTAGCGCCGCGGTTCTTCTCCGCCGTCGCCCACCCGATGGCCATGCTCGCTCTCGACGCGCTGACGATGCTATTCTGGTTCGCCGGGTTCATCGCGCTCGCCGTCTACCACCACCAAGCGGAACGTGTGTATCTCGGAGACGGGTTAGGGGACGTGTACAAAGGGTGCACCCTCGCAGGGGGGTTCTGCGGGGAGATTGAGGCGGCGGCGATATTTGGGGCGTTTGAGTGGTGAGTTGGCCCTCCGACTTTGTGGTCCCGGCGGCGTTTGAGCTGATTGTGCATCCTCTAGGGCCCTCTTCGTCGCTACCACTGCGTTACTGGCACTCGAGTTCATGCGCGGCCGTGGTGGAAGGTCATCCAAGAATGCCGCCGGCCCTTCGACATTCGGCGGCACTACGCAGGTTTAGACGGAGGCGATCCTGAAGAAGCTCTTCTACATATCGCGACTGCTTTTTGGTTCCCTCGCAAGCGTTGGAGGCGTCCCGAGCGTGAGCGAGTGATGATTACGGCTCTTTTCCTTTCTCGATACCCGTTCTGTATATGCACGCCGCGAGGCTTCACATACATGCTCGCTGCCAGGAAGCTATGTCTACTATGTGTAAGATTCTGTTGAGGTAGTACTTGGTCTGCTTAATAGCTAATGCTCGACGTCTGATATGCATATACCATTACCATCACCATTAATCCAGCAGCTCTGATCAAAGCCCCCAGCATCTCATATCTTCTCCGCATCATCGCTAACTCGCATACATCATCCATGAACCGCGATCTTAGCACCTATGACCGCGGGATCTTTATCCTCTCTCGTATCGCGGCAGTTCAGGAGACGGAGCATACCTCTAACACAAATAGCACACATCATGCAGCGCACTATGCAAATCTGATCAGCCCGAGTGCCTTTCACCAAAGCTGCCACGCACAATGCTGAATCTCCCGCGTCACCGACTCCGGATGGCCAGTCGAGCAGTTCGGATTGTACTTCAAGCTATACAGCCTATTCCGATCAAGCCACTCCTCCTCCGGCTCCGCCGGCCGGTTCCCAACAATACCCACACGCCTCCACAACCACTCGATGCTTGAGCTTTTGACAAAACTGCGCTCTCCAAATCCCCCACTCCATCTCATTATGCGCGTAATACGTACGATCCAGCATCAAACCGCACGATTCGTTCATCCTCACGGACAGTGCCTACATCACCGTCACAGCACTCGCCATAGATCAAACGCGACCTGATCGGCTCGCCGTAATGTTTCACAACACTCAAGAGTTTAGGGTCGACTAAGACAAGGAGCTGCTTCGATGCGACCGAGGTCAACCAGGAGCTGACCTTTCCGTCGAGATCCAAGACGCTTTTTACGAGATGCGTAGAGGAGTCAGTAGCAGTCAAGAAGACCTTGATCCTATCCAGTGCGCGTCTACTACCCTTGGAAAGCAAACAGCGAACCCCACATTCCCATCCGAAGTCGCGAGCATTCCCAACCTCAAGAAAACAGCCACTCCATCTTGAAAAATCAGAAGCAGACGTCATCCGCGTCGGACCCTCGCGTTGACTCTGCTCGAAACCACGGAGCCGGGCCGGTTTGTCCGTGACGGATGCTGAAGACCCGCCTTCCCCAAACCCACGAGCTCCCATTCCGAACGACGTCCTGGATCAGCGACCACCAGTGCTCCAACTGCCGAATCTTATCCAAGTCCACAGACACGGGGAGAAAGGCGTACGACGCCACTGTAGTCGACTAAGACCATGGAAAGAATTGGGCATCCTTGATTCCGGCGGGCAAAAGGCATCGAAGTCCCGCTCACTGCGCGGACCGGGATTTTCGCCGGGCAACAAGATGCGAAGTTGGTTGCAGCGACCTCGAGGCGCGGTGCTTGTGGCTCCGGCCGTACCCGTACGTGAAGGGAGCCGTTGTACGTTGCCTTCCTGTGCAAAAAGCCGGATGGCTTCCTGGCGGACCCGGCGCGACGAGACGAGCAGCGTGGAAATGCTCCCGGGGTATGAGATTGGATTCGTGGATTGGGTCACGGAGCTCAGGTGGGAGGTTCAGCAGACGGAAGGGTGACATGTTTGGTTCGCGAGAAGGCTGACGTTGGAATACGGCAAAGAAGGGCTTGAGGAATGGACTTGGGATCAGTGTTTTTCCGAGACGACCGTGCAGTAATTCTACCGTGTGAAGGCACAGAGAGAGCTAAAGGACCTTGACAAATCGGAGTGACGTGGAAAATGAGGAGGCCTGACAAACAATACGTGTCTTCTTTGAAGCCAGTAAAGGGGAAATAGATATATGAGTAGAGATACGCTCGTACCGCGAACGCAACAGGTGATACGTTTATCAAACACGCTCTTAGCCGCTAATATCGCACCAGAAACACCCCTCAACGTTGCATCAACCTTCCCACAGCCCACCAAAACGTCAACATCCCACCCCATTCCGGCGTCTTCCCTTCAAACTCCGCGATCGGATCCACTTCTTCACCCTCATCCCCCACAACGACCTCTCCCTTCTCTTCACATCGCGCCGAGTCGGCCACGAAGCCCTGCAAAGTCTCCACAGGAACGCCACCTACGCTATGACGGTCCGACCCTCCTACGACGCCGAAGGGGAGCGGAGAGTCGAAGGTGTAGATCTGTATATATCGCTACTCCACTCAGCTCCACTCCACGAGCTCGAAGTCGAGAAAAGACTCCTCGTCAACGGACCGAGAGAATCCACAAACCGCACCGTGGGAGTGGATTTTGAAAAGCGTTGGGCGAACAGGTCGGCTTCTGTGGACGAGGGTGTTCTGAAATATCCCTCGAAATTCGGTTCGCCATAGTCCTGGTCGAAGCTTTGGCACAAGTCAAGCCGTACGTTCCTTGGTACCACGTGGGCACAGAACCCGGACTCGAATACTGTGCGCATGGAGCATGGGCCAAGTCCACGTGGCGGTCAGCAATCAATCGAGGTGACTGGCATTGATCTTGCAACAAGTCTATGGGACATTCGGTCATGAAGGTGAAGTTTGATGTGTTGAGTACGCGGGAGGAAACATGGTGTACATAGCGCAGGACCGTGTGTTGAAACTCGCTTGGCGCAGAGTGTTCAAAGTCATTTTGAGATCACCATCAGAGCTATTCTGCCTGTGCGCCAGCAGTCTCTTCATAGCATGGCCTAGGCAGTAGGCAGGGGGTTTTGAGTGATATTGCATGTTCTGTAAACAAGGAGGGCGGAATGAATGCCTCCAATGTGATGAGACACAGCGTCTACGCATGACTCGCATCTTCTGCGAAAGAGCGTATCGGTTATTGTCAGGCCTGGTTATCGTTCTCACACTGGACAGTCAGTCGGAAATTCAGAAACGACAAGGTTTCTTGTGGTGTTGTATGGACTTGAAACAAAATGAGAGATTCAATCCTTGCACTCAACATACATGCCTAGCCGGTAATGTTTTAGAGTCGCTAACACTCCGACGTCGTCCATACCTGCTTTCAGACTCCTAGCCTCTCATCTTTCCTCTAAATCTGAAAAATTCAGTTGAAAAAGGGGGTTGTTTATTTCGACAAGATTGAATAGCTGCTTTCTCGCGCAGTCTCACGAAGAGATCTTAATTTACGGCAGCTTCCCCTCACAACGATCACTACTTCCGACGAAGAGTGCGTTACAAAACGACAAGGTGATACCGTTTCTTTCGCCTATGGCACAAGTTGTTGAACTGGGTCTCGCGAACAGTGCCAGTCTGCAGCAAATCGGACCATTCGTAGAGAAAACGCTTGTACAGAGTGTAACTGCTTGATATCATTCCGTAGACGGAATGGTACTCAAGTCATCGTTGCCACGAGCACCGGCGGCCATGCGTTAATATACCAGTCCAGTATGGCCTTGGCACAATGCTGTTTGCAGCGCGGTGCCGTACATTCCACCGCTAGTATTGGCATCGGCACCGTTATCCAGAAGTAGCTGCACTATACCGTGATGAACCCCGAGAGCGGCAAGCTGCAAAACATTACCGTAGAACTCACCTTCAGCATCGACATCAGCTCCACTGTCGAGCAGCAGTTGAACGACCGCGTCATGACCACACCATGATGCAACTGATAGTGCAGTGGCGGAGCTCGCATCTCACCAACTTATGTCTGCTCCGCGATCCAATGCCAGTCGTATGCCCTCTATGTTACCATTTCCACGCTGCATCTAGTAGCTCATCTCCAAGCGTATCTCGCATACGGTTGTTGTGTGTGTTTAATCTTTGGCCCCGGAGATGCTACGACTGCACGCTGCTTGTTCTTGGTATTTCGAATCCTTTTGTCCTTCGCGACGGGTAGTCGAGCCGCTGTCTAAGATGAGATCTCGTTTTCGGGACTAAATAGCTTTGTGCTTGCATCGAGGAGGTATTTGGTCGTCTCCACAGCATCTTCCACTTCGCTGCTTTTAGAATACGTCATAGCCAGACCTTTGAGAGGCAGCAACGACCGACGGTCCTTTGGCCACGATGATTCTTGGAAGATCTATGATATTCTATTGCTTGCATGAACACGTCCTTGCCTTCGACCATGTACGCAATGTTGAGGTATCGGAGAGGAAATTGAGCCATCCAGCGACTGTAGTGGTGGCAGAGCTCGCCGTCAGGGGCCTCGAGCTTTTGAGGCTCGACGTAACGCCGAATAATCTAATGAAAATGCCTGATCAAGGTTAGACACTCTATCTGAGATCCTTAATCGACGATATCTTTTGGCAAGCATTTGCTCAGTTCGCAGGCTGCAGCAATTATCCACCTCTCCTTCATTTCGCTCGTCAGCGTTTCCAATCGCCACCGACTGATGGCATGATGGAGCGAGATGCTAACGGTACTCCCTTCGGTGTCTCTCTTCAGTTTTATAATGCATAAGCTTTCTAGTTGACCTGTTGCGAGCTGATATGCGAGTCGGTCACGTCCGAAACGACCAAGCCAAGTCATCTCGCGCGTTGGTTGTACTTCGGACCGACCGGAACAGGAAGATACAGCGCTGCCCTCCTGCCGATGCACTTGACCCATCATTTTCATAGCGATTGGGCGCGGACCGAAACATGAAGCGAGAGCCAGTATATTCTCAGAGTCACCGTCTTTCTCGAACCTCGTAAGGATAGATATGTTCTTTTAGTAATCCCAGGCACTTCTAGCGGGCTTGTGTGCCATTTACCTCTGATATTGTGTCTCGAAATGCCTCAGAAAGTCCCGGACAGGGATACCTTGTTCGATCATAGCTCTAGCTTGTTCGATTGCCAGTGGCACCCCATCCATCGCTGACAATTTGTTTCGGAATTTTTGAACGAGGGTCCAAGATCAGCGACCCTTCTGGAGGACTTGAGAATCCGAACACCTTTGTCTAAGTTAGCTTCGACGCCCACACCGGAAAGCAGCATCTCGCAACCATGAACGAGATCTGAACCACTTATTTCCAGGCCCTGGAGATCCAGCGCCTTCATTGTGCGCGAAAATGTACTAGTGGACATGGTACTCCCATGGCTGCATTAAGGTACAAGATCTCGACAGCCAAAGCTTTCCAAATCATCCAAGCTGTCGAGTACCACGAGCCAATCTTTGTTCTTGCCGGAAGCAAGCCACTGCTGAACGAGGCGCATGTGCGCTCTGGCTTCCACTGATGGTAGACCTGGCTGTGCTACGTGTCTCCATCCCAAGACAGTTGCTGAAAGGATTCTTCGGCACTTTCATAGGTGGGCAGCATTAACCCAAAATACTGCAGAGTAGTCTTTCTGGTAGATTTTCAGGTATTCTAGCGCAGTTCGAGTCTTTCGATATCCACCGCGCCCCCCAGAGAAACGCTCTGTGTCGCCCAGTATCATTTGGCTGGAGAGACAGCATCGTACGTAGTTGACTGAGCTCTGAAGCACGTCCAAAAAATCCATGTCTTGAGACTGGCAACTCTGAGAGAGAAATAGAACCTGAGTCTTGACGGTTTCCACCAATTGGACATCATCAAAAGATATATTTTCATATACGTAGCAAACTGACTTTGACTTCGTGCGTCCTCGTGTACAATCGCTCCATGCACAGTGAACATTCAAAGATGGATGCGCCCATGTTGAGTACGAAGGTTTTTTCAGCTCTGCGTGAAAGTATGAAAGTTAAACTCGCTATCAGCGACTCGCCACTACCAGCGTCCCATTCAGCACCCCAGCACCATCCGCCACGACCGAATACACCGTGACCTCAATACTCTCCGTCTCGCCTGTGGCACCCTTCCCACCCCTGCCCCCGCCCCACTGCACGCACTCCGTGATCACATTGCTCGCCGCCCGTGCGACAAACCCCCAAGACGACACCTCGCTCCTCACGCCGCGGTTCAGGCGCACATCGATGACGCAGTTGCCGTACTGCCTGGTGCGTGGCAGGTGCCATTTGGCGTTTCCGCTGCGGTGGTCGCTGAACGTTGGCCAGGTGTAGCTGTGGGTGCGGGGGTCGTATCGGATGTCGCTGGGTTTGTCGGAGGGGAGGAGTTTGGCGGCAGGTGGCGACGTCGAGGTGGTGGCCATGTTGTTGGGCGCTGCACTCGACGGCGGAACTGGGTAAGGAGGGGTTGGGAATGGCGCTTACCATGGGGAGTATGGGAACAGTCGGCATTGACCTGATGATAGGAGTGAGGATGAGGACGCAGAGATGCAACATTGTTGGCTTCATTTTGCTACCGTTGATTGCTGAGTGGCTTCAGGGTGTTTTTTAGAAGGTTGGGAAACCGAGAAGAAACATCGCGCTTTAACTGAGCGGGAATGCAGCTGCGCTTTGAACGGAGCTCGGTCTGGTAGAGGGTCCATACACGCCCGAGAAAGCTTCTTGCTTTTGCAACACTGTTCTCCTGCATATGCACGCTTGGATCCATCCCGTTCGTATGTGTGTTGTAACGAAACTTACAGTCTCGGCTCATCCTCTTCTGCGTGCATATCTTTTCCTACCCTTAAAGCTTCGCAGTCCTAGGACTCAGATACCCTACCTTCCCCTTCACAACACCAAAAGCGCCTCCTCCCTTCCCAAACATCTCTTGTAGATCCCTCGCAATCGCCTCTGGCTTCTCCCATGCTGGGAAGTGTCCGCCGCTCTCGTTTTGGCTCTCATACATCACTGGCCCCATGGTTCGTCCCCACGACTTCGGTACCACCGTGAGTTCTTTTGGAAAGTGTGCCAGACCCAGCTTTACGTGCGCTATCCATTTTTCCGTCCTCTCCCGGCCAAATTGCGTGTCATGCATTGCTTCGTAATAGATTCTCAGGTTGGCAGCAACACCAGCGGTGCTGAACCAGTAGATAGATACCCAAGTCAGTATTTCATCTTCGGTCCAGGGATAGCTATCCGTCCAGTCATGCAGCTTTTCATATATCCATGCCAGCAATCCGACTGGAGTGTCTGCGAGTGCATATCCCAGTGTTTGTGGTTTTGTGCTCTGCTCCAGGCGGTAGCCGCTGCCTTCTTCTAAGAACCACTTGCTGCGGGCATGTCCATCTTTTTCGCGTTGAGTATAGGGCGCAAGGGCATGTTGGGTAGCAAGAATGGGATGGGATAGGAATTCTGGAGCGTGGCCACGGACCATGTTTATGTGAGAAGCCATGACGTGTTGGGGGTAGAGGAGGCCCATTATGCGGGTTATCATGCAGCCCCAGTCGCCACCCTGTGTGACTATGCACATCTCGTGTCAGATTATGTTTCTGATTGGGGACAAGGGACGTACCATATTTATCGTACCCAAGCTTGAGCATAAGCTTGTGGCATGTCTCAGCGTATTGAGGTAGGCCGAAGCCTTTCTTCTTCGTGCCAGAGGAAAAGCCGTAGTTGGGAAGAGAGGGAGCCACGATGTGGAAGGCCGGGGCCTCCTTACCGCCATTGGCAAGTAGAGGGAGGATCTTGGTGACTTCGATGAAGCTGCCGGGCCCTGAGTACAATCAGCAGGCAGGGTCGCAGGGTTGATAATGGTCACGCACAGCCATGGGAAAAGAGCAGAGGGATTGCTCCCTCTACATCGCTCTTCTGATACACGAAGTGTATATCCAAACTTTCGAAGCCGTCGACTTGAATTGCAGTCTTGAAATTTGGGAGTTCATTGAGCTTAGCTTCTTGCTTCCTCCAATCAAACTTTTCTCGCCAGTATTTGACCAATCGTTTCACGTCAGCCAAGGGGGCGCCGTAGTCCCAGCCCGCTTGGTCGAGCTCGTCAGGGAAGGTTGTGGCTTCAAGCTTTTGGGTAAGTTGTTGGCGCTGTTCCTCAGGGACGGAGATAGTGTAGGGCTCAATTGATGCCATGATGTTATCGTAGGTGGGAAAGAGAGAGTAGCAGGTATTGGAGGGGATGAGAGAGCGTATTTATCATGATGCTGTAAGCTTTTAGCAGGCGCACCTGTCATTAAGTACTCTCACCACTTGCCCGTTTTGTCCGTGAGGTGACGTATTTTGGTGGGGCTTCACCTCAATGGAAATTCTGCCCCTCCAGGTTTTATCTTCAACCACCAGCAAAACAAACGACATCTCTTCGCAGAAACACACACTCATCTAAGGTATTCAAAGCACGAACTGGTGTAAGTATCATTCAACAATCAGCACCTTCTACCCTTGGACAATGACCATCTCTTACCTGCTGCCGCGAATACAGGCGAAGAAGTCTTTATCTCTTAAACCTCACAAGATCAACTTCAAGAGCTTCTTGCTGACATGAATCATGCAGACCAAAACCATACCAATATCACACCCTTTTCTACCTATTCCACCACACCCAATCAAACAAGATGTCAGCACCCCACGCAGGCCGCCAGTCTCCGGAGCCAGAGAAGCAGTCCAACGATCAGGTTGGAGCTCCCGCGTCTGGCAAGGCTGACGCCGGCAAAACAGAGACTGGGTCTAAGGATGAGAGCATAGACACGAAGGACAACGCTTTAGAGAGCAACCCTGTGGGGCCGATGGAGGATGCCGCTCACAAGAAGGTCAGCAAGGAGGGGCGTGGAGATATTGTCTAGATGGGAAATGCCAACTGGGTTGAGCATGAGACAATGAAGCAACGAGCCTAGTGGCAGGAGAGGTCTACGAGATCGTCATGATGGCACGAGCACATGAGCTAGGAATCGAAATCGATGAAATGCTCTGATGCTTTGGCCTATATGTTTCTCTCTCAGTGAGATCCCAAGCGATAATGCAAAAACTCCTCGTAGCCAACCACTTCCAAAAAAAGAGCCCAATGCCCTAACGCCAACGCTGTATGCTGAACATGCTTACCTTCCATATATACTACAACGCACCATCAGCTCAGGCTTAGCTATCACCCTGACCCGACACCGGTATATAGCTCCTTCGTTCTCTCGCACTCTGTAGAGCCAACAAGTCAGTGAAGTCCTAAGCCTGAACATGCCATACAGAAAGCTCACATCGACCCACTTCGCCACCCACGGCTTGATGGCAGCCCAGATCAGCAATGCCGCCGTAGCAATGATGAATATAAAGACCACCGCCTCATCCTTTCTCGAGTCTCGCTCTGCAGCACAACGTCAGCCAGCTGTCCTCCTCCATGATACCCGTTCCCTTCCTTCTATCTGTTCACCCACTCATTCCGTCCCTATTCCCTGATGCCCCAATCTTGCAACGCATGGTAGGCAGACTCACGAAAACATGTAGTAAACACATCCTCCATCCCCGCACCCTTACAGATCGGCAAATTATAATCCAAACAGAACTGCCTATTACAATCATTGCAGTTCCCCGCCCGATATTCCTTCCGATCATCATCCCCCTCCTCCCCCTTCCCCTTCCCCTTCCCACCGTCTCCGTCCGGCAGGGTCTTTGGAGGCGCATCTTCTGCAGGAGGATCATCTGGTATGCGGTCTTGCGCATCGTCGGGGTCGTCAGGGGCGCGAGGGAGGAGGAGAGCGTTGTGCATTATGCGCGGGGAGGTGGAGATAGGGGCGTCGAGGGGGATAATGGTACTGTTGGTGAAGCAGGTGCATTTGCAGAAGGAGGTTGGTGCTGTTGGTGAAAGGTGTATTAGTACAAGCTCCCAGGTAGGGAAAGAAGGGGGGGGGGGCGAGAATGTACAGGCTGCAGACGTGAGAGTGAGGAGGGCGGAGAGGGAGAGGGAGATGAAGATGGTAGTGGGGAGCATGGCGCGTGTTTGCTGGCTTGGTGGAGAGGGAGGGAGTTGGTGGATTCTTGTGGAATATACGCTTAGTAGCTGCGCAACATGCCAAATGACAGTCACTTGGTCGCTATACAGCCGAAGCCTGTTGTTGGTGGTGTTACAAGCCCTAAATCATTAGCCCTAACCCCTAGACCTAGCCGAGTTTGTGTATCCGTTTTCAAATATTGTTCTGTGTAGGGGTTGTAGCTGAGACAACGTTATCTCTGAAGGAATTATTGTTGAAGGCATGTTGTCAATGTAGATATAGATAAGGAATGCGATATCAGGAAGGCTGCAATTTCCCTTGAGGTAGAATAGTTCAGACAACCTTCGAGCATCGCCTTTTCGTTCCTACAATGTCTTCCTTACCCTCTTCTTTCCTGCCAACTTATAGAACCCTTTCCAGTGTAGCCATCTTTGTAAATGGAAGGTAAACAATCGAAATGTTTCTTCCGCTTTCCGTTCTGTAGACATTTGCGTAATGTTAACCTCGTTTCCTTGATTACTGATTTTTTCTTTTGCAAGCGAGTATATTGCGAAGTAAGTGGAAATATACTTTGTGCCGTTCTGCTGTAAGAGCTGGGAAAACAGTTTAAAGGAAAAAGAAACACAGTCTGGCTAACGGGCTTCGTAGCGCACCGCATACAGTCTACTAGACGAGCTTGTTGCCTCTTGAATTTCTTCTGGACATCTGCTAACTGGATTCATAAATGTGTAGAGTGTCACAGCATGAGAAGAAGAGACAGTATGCGGAAGCGCATCAAGACTTGCTGCCGGAGCCTTCATCAATGAAAACACCCGAGGATTCATGCCCCTCTTCTCTGCATCTGGCAGGCCTCCTTCAAGTATCAAGATCAAAAGATGCGGGTTTGAAAGAATCGCAAGACGATGACGATATACAGAGAGCCAAAGAGTGTACTTTTATGTATTGCCTCTAGATGGTAAAGAGCAACCCGAATACTTCAACTCTCAACTCTTCTTTCAAAACACCCGAACCAAGTACATTCCTATTGCTTTCGGAACTTCGTGAGTAGGAAGCCACCAGTAGCATGCTCTTCAATGCCCATTGACCCCATTAACCCCATTGGCCCCATTGACCCCACTGGCCCCACTGGCCCCATTGGCCCCATTGGCCCCATTGGCCCCATTGACCCCATTGGTCTGCTGCTTGACAACTTTTCTCCTCGTCCGGACCGCATCCGCCAATTGGTAAAGAACCTCAACTGTCGAATCCCAATCGATGCAAGCGTCTGTAATACTGACGCCCTTCTTGAGGCCCTCTGCTCCCTCTGGTGGAACCTTTTGGTTTCCTTCGTTGACATTCGACTCGATCATCACGCCCACGATGGCTGTCTCGCCTTCGCGGAGCTGATCTCCTATCGCTTGAGCGACCTTGGGCTGGTTACGATGGTTCTTCTGCGAGTTGCCTAGCATTCATGAGCGATGAAACAAGACCTATCCTTGACGATACTTACCATGCGAGCAATCGATCATCATGACCTCCTTCTGGTCCGAGTTCCTCAACGCCTCCCTTATGCCCTTTACGCTCTCCTTGTCAAAGTTCGTGCCGTTGGTACCACCTCGCAAGATTACGAAGCCATGCTCGTTCCCGCTCGTCCTCGTGATGGCGGCTAGTCCCTGCTTGGTGACACCCATGAAATGGTGTTTCGAGGCCGCTGATCCAACGGCGTCGATTGCCACCGAAAGAGACCCATCCGTTCCATTCTTGAACCCCACTGGGAAGGAAAGACCACTGGCTAGCTCCCTGTGTAATTGACTCTCCGTAGTCCTTGCACCAATTGCGCCCAACGAAATCAGATCTGCAAGGAACTGCGGCGATATAGTATCAAGCATCTCACTGGCAATTGGCATCCCCAAGCCAGTAAGATCACAGAATAGCTGCCTGGAGACCCTTAAGCCCTTGTTGATCTTGAAGGTCTCGTTTATCTCCGGGTCGTTGATCAGGCCTTTCCAGCCCACGGTTGTTCTGGGCTTCTCGAGATAGGCGCGCATGATGATGCAAAGGTCATCGGAGAGCTTGTTGGAGAGGTCGAAGAGCTTGTGGGCGTACTCGACGTTCGTTGCCGGGTCGTGTAGGGAGCAGGGTCCGACAATGACGACCAGGCGGTCATCTTGCTGTGTTATGATTTGGATGGACTCCTGTCGCCCTTTGGCAACAGTCTCGTAGATCGAGTGAGACTGCATTGGCGAAGGTATCAGTAATTGACATTGTTTTGTAGCTTGGAGAAGGGCATACTCCGGGGATCTCAGACTGCAGCAATTGAGGGGGGATGAGTGGATCTTGTCCGAGAACTGGAAGAAGACCGTCAGTGATATTTCGATTGAGCTTCCAAACCGTTTGGCTTACCTCGAGTGTTCTCGTTCAAGAACATGTCATCGGCTTCGGAGACAGGCATTGTTGAAACGGGTGTTGCAAAAATGTTGAAGAGGCGGTGAGGCTAAAGAGATGATGCTCGGATGGCTTTTGGTGGATAGACACTCGGGTTATTAGCTATTTGTATGACAGACAGCACACCATCACAAAGCTGGCTCGGTTAATGTGCCGACATGATTCAATATCTGTCAAATTCATCAATCGAGCACGGACATTCGGTCCCAAAATCTGCTCTGTGCTCCTGCACTATCGGCCCTTATTTCACCGGTAATCTATTCCTATACGCTAGGGGTTTGAAAACCCTAGCTTGGTAAAACATCTCCGTTTGTTCCTTCCCCATTCATCGCTTGATCGTGGGCCTGCCTGGTTTCAAGTGTCAACATCTGTGTTCGACACTACTCTACAAGTAGCTGGTCTGACCTGCATGATCTCCATGCGAGATGACCCACTTGGTTGAAGGTCATCACTTCACTGCATACATATCTTGCGCACTGCCTGTCATGTTCTGACTTCTCCAACCTGCTATCCAGCCTCGCCCAAAAACCCTGCTTCCTCCACAACTTCACATCACAATCCGCCACGGCAGACATGTTCGCCTCCAGGAAGCGAGGTCGCGAAGACGTGGAGGACGAACTGCAACAATATGCGCCTGATACCAAGGTCAGTGCTACCAACAGTGCTCACCAAGACCGCCTTGCTAACTAGCCCAATAGAGATCAACTTTACCGTTCCGTACTTCACCCAATACCAGACACATCCGCCCTCTCTCACAATCACGAAGCCGACCCTCACCTCTCTTCACACAAACCATCACTCCAGCAGATTCTTCAGAGGAAGAGAACTCGCCGCCCTTCCAACCTACAAATCAAGCCTACCAACTACATTATTCACCTTGTAGCACCAGCTCCGTCCCTCAAAGGGACCAGAGCTTTGACTTAGACATGGACATGGCAGACTCTTTGCCGCTTGTCTCGCCTCGACAATGGGCTCAAGTTCCACGAACTCCATCACCCAAAGCCTCACCATGCACTATGGAGTTTCAACAGTCCGAATCCAAACAACCCCAAAACACTGTTACCGGTGGCCGGCTACCTACTCCAATCTACGGGCACTTCCAGCGATCCATAGACGCAAAGCTCGAAATGGACGGGAACCCAGAGAGTCACGCATCTCGCTTGCAGCAAGAAATCGACTACGAAAATTACGTTCGCCGTCGGAGACTGCCGACCCCTATCGACGAAGATGAGGCTATGGAAACCTCCTCGGCGATGTCAGGAGATATGATGGACTTGCATCTTAATGGCCATAGCAGAAGAGGAGGAGTCGATTACACCTTCTATCCCTCACAGATCTTGGGCTCGTCAGAAAACAGCTTCGAGTATCACTCAAGTTCAGACACTCTTTCGTCTTCGGCAGGCTGTGCTGCCCCACCGCCGAGGAAGCTATCATTCTCGATGGGCCCGAGGGCAAATTGCGAACTTTGCATCCGGAGGGTCCCTGGGCACTCCAATCACATCATCCGGACGTGAGACCAGCACGCGCCTTACGGTCTCATGATCGATATGACTTTTACGATTCATACGCTATGGTTTTTTGACGGCATTAGCGCTTACTGTCTGCGAAATACCCTTTTCTCCACATGAGCCAAGCGCCAAATGTGTCCATAGCTAATCGATAAATTCCGTTCCCCAATCACGATCCACCATGTCCTCCTCAAAATGACAATGTCCACGACCATCTGACTCGATTAGCATTTCTGACCGAATTTAGCGATCAATCCAGCACCAATGCTCGGTCAATTGATTTTTTACTAACCTTCCAAGGCAAGTCTCTCGTTTCACCATGTTGCAAGATCCAGATCTGTCCATTCAATTTCCTATACTTGCAAATCTCCCGCCTGCCCCGTCCCCACCATCTGCACTCCAGAAATGTCAAAATGGAACCATTCGAACACTTGCGAAGTTGTAGTGGTCGGATATACGGATATACAGTCGTCGGAAACGAATTTACTTTAGTTCCCTTCTGTATAAGCGCGCCATTCTCGCGGGTGAAGAACCTGAAACGGCGCCAGGGGTTATCTTCTGCATGAGCTTAAGTTAATTTATGGACCACGGGTGGGATGCTATTTTTACCAGATGCGTCTTCGGAAGCCGGAGTGAGACGGGTCTGGAGGGTGGGTTGGAACTTGGAAGGGGAAATCCACGACCTGGTGTTTCGATATTAGGAGCGCTACTGGTCGCCACTGCCGGAGATGTCGCAGGCGAAGGAGGGATAGGAGAATAGAAGATGGTAAGTATTGACGAGGCTAGAGTTTTGGGACCATGTTTTGTTACCAGCTAACAGGATAGATTCTGTTCTTCAGATCCCACCATAATTCTGTATTTTTCACAGGGCTTTCGGCACATCGGCGTCAAAATTCTTCCTTCAAGATAGGCAGGAGCTGAACACGTTTGTGCAAGAGTGACTACCACTCTTTAGAGATCAAGGTGCATGGACTAAGATCGTCTGTTTCCGCCTTTTTTCTGAGATCTGATACCAAGGGCCGGTGATTATAATTCCCGATGCGAGAATCAGATGGGTGACAGACGCCAAACCCAGCAAAAACTCTAAATCTCAAAAGCACATCATGTAAAATCAAGACAAAACAGTCCACATACCGCGCCTTGACTTCCCTGAAGTATATGTCTTACGATTTGAGTGGGCGATCTTAAAAGAGATTTCTCACGTAAGGGAAAGTATTGCCATTGACCCTCGTACCCTCCTTTTCCTTTGACCTGGACTCGATTGATCGTCGCCGTCTGGACATACTTTGCTTGTCGATCACCGTCTTGCAGTTGAATCTGACCTATTGTGACAATGGTAGCAGCACGCGGATCGCCCAATCGTTGTCACTCGATGATTAGCATCCGATTCTGGGCTTTTGTGAGAATGGCAGCAGCAAGCGAACTGCCCGCAGTAGCTTATCTCAAAGTCCTCATCCATGCACGTCCATCCCACCAGATTCTTGTTGACGACAGACTTTCAAGTGGACTTACTGTAGGCCCCGCATCAATGACCTTGTACTGGGAATTGTGTTCAGACGGACGAAGGAACAAGCCATGATTATGGTATGCATCTGGACAAAAGGCAGCGAATCAACTTTCCTCTAGAGCCTCCACGTCGATAAGAGCTGCATCGGCCAATCGGGATCAGCTCCGAAGATACCGGAGTACCAGGAGCTAGGTAGCTCCGGGTGCTAGAGGCCGCACCTCGGGAGCTAGGTACCTTGAGGTACACCGGAAGCTGCCCCACCAAACCTTTTTGAAGTTGAGATCTATGCCAACAACAGGAGGTCTCTGGGGGACATGTCATCAAACACCAACCCGATTCCAATCCCGAAGTCGTGCGATTCAGACAAGATTCTCGGCTGGATGTGTGCACAAAGGCATGGGGACCCTGCGCATGCGCGTGCCTCTGCCTGCAGGGCAATGCAGGGCATTGCAGGCCCATGCCTTCAGGGTGCATTGCGACAATGTGGCCCCCAGCTCCTACAGCTCGAAGTGCCACTTGGTCCTACCTTAGGAGCGGGCGACTTGCGCAGATCGGCTCGGGCAGCTCCCAGCGCTAGGAGCTAGCCCCCAAATGGTTCCCGATTTGGCTGATGCTGTCATAGACTCCCTACATGCACCGGACTCCACACCAGCACCAGCGTTGCACCTCTACGCAGTGCTGGTGACTATCAGCGCTATCGCCCTGGTACCGTGAAGCAAGGACCACCGCATGAAGTCCTACATTCGATAGCAGTCCCGGCCAAGCGTCACGTTGGTAGCGTAAATCGATATGGCGATGCGCATCTCAACAAAGTCCCGCACCAACAGGTGTGACAAATATTCTGTCAAGTTCAGAGCCTCTCAGTAACCGGGAGTCTCTCCAGCGGTAAGTTGACACTACTTGGGGACCGCTGTCAGAGTATCACGTTGCACGTCAAATCGAAAGCCCACGTTGCAGTGGCCATTCTTCTACTACAGGGCGATAACGATAAGCTCACGTTCCAGTGCCACAGCCTCGGTGCATCACACACACATACACGTCTAAATCTACACGTCATACATATCTACACTCTACACATACACACGTCATACACGTGTCTACTATCGTCGTGATCCTCTTTCTATGCAGAGATCCCACGTCAAGACTCGGTATAATGTATACACCGACACTTAGCAAAATTCCAGGTCATATGTTAGGGCTTGTATGGCTATATTATATCATATCAATTGAATGACCACACGTTGTAGTCGGCTGGCGGTAGATATATAATCAGTTAATGAGAAGGAGGATGATTATGGAGAATAGAGGGAGATTCGAGAGGTGATTTAGATAAGGATATAAGGGCAGGGTAGATTAGCTTATAAAAAAACGGTCACGGAGAGGGCAGGCGTCGAACGTTATCATACTATCTAGAAGTTCAAGGTTTATGAGGATATGTGGGTATACCCTACGTGGTAGGAGGCTGAGTTCGATAACTTAGACGTTAAAGGGTGGCCCAGTCAGCCACGTGGCTCCATGCTGCTAGGCCCATAAAGTTCCCATTGTCGTTATAGCATCAGGCTGCACACAGAAACAAAGAAGACACACAATAACCAAAGAATATATCCTCCAGACTCCGCGACCACTTTTGCAGGTTGTGCTTCTCCTCGGTCCATTGACAGAGCAGATCATGTCCATCTCCACGAAAGTACGTGCTGTATGACCGGAACCAGTATGTGTAGATGACCGCCCTACCACCATCACGACTAGATTGCCATCGATCACTTCCGCAGGTCGGAGCGGGCGTCCAAAGTGTGCGCAGACCACACGGACGGTCGGTATCTCTAATCCTTCTATGGACCTCGAACTGAAAGTGCAAACACTTGTTGACGAGACCAGAAGTAATACCGAAGGATGTTTTTCTCTTCCATGCTTCATATGATAAGAGCGGAAAGCTGTGTGTCGCTCTTCGCTAGAGATGAGGGATCTGGTGGCTTTCAAAAATTCTCTTTCAATCTTGACCATGAGCATGCTCTTCATCGGTCCCGATACTCTGTAAGAGGTAGTGTAGTTACTTCTTCCATGCCACACCGACAAAAGATGTTTCTTCGGGTCGGTTCCATTATCGAAAGTGCTCCCAGAAAATATTTACTCCTAAGAGCTTGCATCGCCCACTACGCCACTGTTTTGTGCAACGGTAATGAGTAAAAGTAAAATCTTTCTATAAACACAACAGTCCACCGCTTCTCTGTACTAGTACAGGCATGCCAGGAAATCCTTAAACGAAACCATGCCTCTCACAATTCTCCCAACGGAGCTTCCGCTGCATGTCCTCGAGTATGCCCTTAAACAAGACCTAGGGAACATCTCTCCAACGCGCCGCCGCTGTCGATCCGCCGCAGTGAACGCTCTACCATGCCTGCGAAGCCAGGACCCCGTATACCCTTTCGAAAACACCTACACACAAAGCGTCGTTCGACGGACGCCCGCCCAATGATGCGCTCTTGATTTTGACCGCGGCGTGAAGATGTACTGGTACCTTTCCTTGGCGCTTGCAAGTCGGTCGTTGCATTGCATATCTCACCATTGCAGCGTCTCCGTGGGTTGAAACTGCAGCTGCTTGGCTCTGATATCACGAACCTGTCCCTTGGACGCAGTGATGTATCGATCCAGAGCTTCGGACGATTGTTAAATGGAATACAGGCCGCAAAAGCCTTTTCAATTGTCTGCTGCGGGCATGCCTCCAATTGGTGGACTCCCTAGAAATCAAGGATCTCCTATTGAGATACTCCCGGAGTACACTGTAACCCATCAGGCTCGCTACATCGACGCAATTGGCAGACGGATCATCTACATCGGCCCTCTGACCGACTTCAAAGTGCTTAAATCTGCCGAGATGAGCGTTCGCATGGCCATAAGACACGATGCGGTCGAAAAAAGGTCAAGTAGATGGATTGTCGTCGCGGACCCGCTGTTACGCATACAGACCCGGCAACGCAGGGGATTTCTTCGCGGACCTCCATCGGCTCAAGAACCACGGTACCAGGTATCGAGTCACCACATCCCACCGCCACCGGTCTTCAGACGTAGACGTGTGGGACAAGGCCTTGCCTCCTCTCGCTTCGAAGTCGTTCCTTTGCCAAGGTGGTTGTGGTTCGTACAGAGTGATGAGCTCTAGGGGGTAGCGAAGCGATTGGAGCTCGCGCGCGCAAGGGGTGCAAAGTCCCCCGGTCGAAAAAGGAAGACGGCCTCGACCCATCGTGGTCCACCAAAACAATCGCGATCAAACTCACACTCTGGGGCCAAACATGTGCCTATCGTTCCTCTTAGCGTGTAGATCACTGAGGTCTGTCTTCATTGTTCGGTCAAACACCAGTGAAAGTGGGCTGCATGCACGCTGCCGGCCGTGTGGTGACCATTACAAGGTGCACTATTTGTCAGAGATGCCTAAACACTATGTTGTAAATATCGACCGCACTCCGCTTCTTTTCCTTTCATTGATTCATCTCCCAGCTCCCAGAAATAACCTTACAAATATATACAATAAGATACCGTGCCGGTGGCCTTCTCATACAGTTGTGTACTTCCATCTCCCACAACTGGCATGAGCTTGGCAATCAACCTCGTTCTTCCTCGTATGCTGACCTTTGAGCTTCCCCGTGCAACTTCTGTGACATCGACACCGCCAACGCTGAGCTCGAAGATCTTCTCAAAGCCAGTCCCCGCCCTCGCACTGCCCTAAAGGTCGGCCTAATCGCCCGTCTGCAACAGTACGACACGGGGATATCCACCAGACCCAATCTACAAGCACAGCTGGTGCCGAAGACGAGATCAGATGGGACCACGAGGCAGCGACTTCCACCGACCCAAAAGGTGCTGCCACAACAATGGCGTTATGTTGTAACGCACAAAGAAATAGGTAGCATGTACCAATGCCACTAGCTTATTGTTCAACAGTTCTTTGCCCAGGCGCAAGAAGTGACACAAAGACATTGTCTCAATGCCGTATCATTGAATCCTCAGTTGGCAATACATAACGAGCTCGACACCGAGGCCTCTGACACCATGCTCACCTTTAAATATCCTGACCTTGATCTTCGTTCTTTCTTACTTTCTTCCTTCCCCACCATCACCATCACCATCACCATCATCACCGTCTACCAAAATCTCAGTCCTCGAATCGCAGAACCTCATACAAAACCTCAGAACCGACCCCCCTATTTTCGGAACATCAATACTCCAGTCCACTCCCATCCCAACCTACCACCCCAGCTTGCTCAAAATGTCCAGCCAGGGACAACCCTCCTCCTCGCTTCCGTCCTCACGCGCCACCACGACCGAGAGATCGGACTCCGAAATCCCAAAAGACTGGCGATGCAGCTGCGGCACCGGCGACGGGTCCGGAAGCTACATCCAATGCGACAACGAGGACTGCCGCGTGGGATGGTATCACTGGGAATGCGTCCGGGTGACGGAGGAGCCCGCCGGGACGTGGCTGTGCCCGAGCTGCAGTCCCAACGCGGCGTTCTACATCAAGCAGTTGGTGAAAGGGCGAGCAGCGTCGCCGCTCCTTCCCACATCCGGGAAAGCGGTCACTCCAACCTCGTCCAAGGCGAAGGAGCCGGTCCCCGAGGTCAAGGAGAAGGGAACGGTGAAGAAAGGTATCGCCGTCAAGGACCCGGTTGCCGAAGAGGCGAAGGGTCAGGAGGCAGAGACCACGAACGGGAAGATATCAAAGAAAGGCATCGCAACGAAGAAGGCAGCGTCCGAAAGAGCCAAGCCGAGATGGATTGGCTGGGTGGAGATGTCTTCGGATGGCGAGGAAGACTACAAGAAGAAGGTGAACGCCAAATTCCTGATGGAGGATGGCGTCAAGGGGAAGCGCACGAGGGGCTCGAAAGCCTCACCCGAAGAGGACGAGACCGGGCCGCGGAGGTTTAGGACCCGTTCGAGGCCAGGGAGAAAGGCCAAGAACGTGGTAGAGACGGACTCAGATGAGGAGGAAGGAAGTGAGAGAATGGACTCTGTCTACCAGAAGCACGAGGAGGAGGAGGAGGAGGAGGAGGAGGAAGACCAGGAGGAGACTTCGGGTTCCGAGGACGGGTCCATGCACGAAGAAGCACCCGTCAACAAGGATGCACCGGTCAAGAACGATGCATCTGTCTTCCAAGAGGACGACGAAGAGGACACCATGGAAATCGACCAGGAGTCCGAGAAGGAAGACCAGGGCAGCGCGGACGAGCCATCCGACACGGACGGGGAGGACTCCGACGTTTCCCCCCCAGCCCGTCGTGAACGAGAGTCCGGGGCACCCGGTCCAGTCCGCAAGGGCGGTGGGAACGGGGCCGACGGCCCAAGCCAAAGGACCGCGACATGCGCTCCGGCTGCCAGGTCGGACACCCCGTCGCGGTTCCCGACTTCAGACCGCACCGGAGGAATGGTAGCGGCGTCCCCTACGGGCGACGACGCTATGGACCTCGACGAGGGAGGCGAGGGCCACGGGAGCCATGGTGGGCGAATGGCTGTGACCGTCAGCCCGGCCGTGGAGAGCAACGACTACGCTGCTCGCTATCAACGCCAGGGCAACTGCTGGGGAGAATTCCCCGAGTCCGCGATCCGGAGCACGCTTCCGCGCCTTGCTTAAGCCATTTCAAGGGTCGATAGGGCTTCTCGGGAGATGGAGGTAATCAGCGTGGTTCCTGAGATATCGAGCATTACTGCATAATATTTAGAATCGCATTGCTTAGTATAAATGACAACATATGCAAAACCCATTTATGTCCCTGAAATCGCAATGAATCATACCATTAAAAAGTCAGCCGTACCTGCGCCCATAAACATATCGAACCTCCGTGATCATCCATTCACCCACCCCAGAGCATCACGGTCTTCCAATCGGGGCCCACCGCCCACCATGTGCGACATGATTGGCACCCACATTATGAGCACCTCCACTGCCCACATTCCCGAGCTGATGTCCCGCGTGCGCTTGCTGCGGTTTGACCGATCTCTTGCAGCCCCGCCTGCCGCAAGTGACGAGCCAGAGCACTTGATGTGGCTTCCACCAGCCGACCATAATCGCTACCGCAACCCCGACCATAGTGACAGCGACACCGACGGATGTGACAATGATACCGGCCTTTTCTCCGGCTGAGAGGCTAGACGGAGAGGACTCAGTAGGCGAGGAGCCGACGTTCGAGGCTGTTGAGAAAGGACTGGATTGGCCGGGTGCGGTAGAGGAGGCTGGGGCGGAGGTTCTTGTTAGCTTGGCGTTTCCGTTCGAAGGCTCTATGCTAAGACTGCATACCTGCTGTGCCCGCTGCTGGTGAGTTGCCACCCAAGAACGTCTGAAGAGCCAGCACGGTGCCGGATGTCTGGCCGCACGCCAAGGAGAAATACGTAGAGACGGCCCCCAGGCTCAGCGACCGAGCGTACGAGAAGCAGGATGGAGCAGCCGAAGAGCTTTCGAAGGTATCAGACTATTTTCTCATCATAAAAGGTCCAGCTCACCAAGACAGAATGGAGGTATATATCGATGAGCAGTCTGATGCATCTAGACCCCCGGCACAGAGCTGAGCACCGTAGTCCGCGCAGATGCGGTAGTTTCCTGCGCACTGGATCTGGTCGCAGCAGGCCCATCCTATCATGTCTTGTACCGTAGACGTGCAGGAGTAGCTCGTAGGACACGTAAGTGGTGATTCTAGGAAAAGGGGGTCGTGCATGTCAGTAGACAATCCGAGGTAGAAAGAGTACCGATGGTGACATACTGACATCGCCGCTAACAAAACCGCAGGTAGATACATCTCCTCGAGCAAAAAGAGAGTTGACATCAACTCGAGGGGCTTGGGTGATCAGTGGCTCTCTGGCATGCACAAGGTAGCGATCAGGAAATGACAAGGCTACCATGGGCCAGGAAGTAAGACAGAGAAACGCGCAGTACGCCATGATAATGCCCGCGATCTTCGACCAGCGTCAGAGGATTTGAATGCCAAACTTGGAGCTGACAGTTCCTATGCACGAAATCCGAGTATGATGCAGGATAGAAAGTGAAATAGAGCGTGGGGTGCGACGATAGGCGCCATAATCCCTTCCATTTGCCTTGCGCTGACGGCAAACACTATGCTCTTCGCTCGTCTGTCAACCCCGGCCACGAGGTTTCAGATGCTGCATGTCGATGTGCCCGATTTGGCAAGCAGGCTTAGGTTATGATTTTGATGACTGGGTGGTCTCCCACGCCAAATTGTGATTGGCCAAGTAACTGTCTTGGCCCTGCACCTCGTAATTCCTTCTCGACTAATCAAGGAGTAAGCAAACGCCACAACGAAATCGGTCGATACCAAACCTCTGACAAATCAACCGAACGATAGCGAAGGGTTTGACTGGTCTAGCTACTAAAATTGCAAGAATCTCACGAAATCAGCATACAACAATATTGATGTCCAGCCGCTTCGCAAGCTCCATCGCGCAGTTCATACATTCGTCTTGATGCAAAACGCAGTATTCTATCGTCCCAGCCAGCTGCAGCAGCTGATGGAAAGGGTGGCCATGATGATCGATAAGCAGACACCGGTCGCCAAGGCCTTAATGTCTGGTCTCAAAGGCACGAACGCCTCCGTCAAGCTGCCTGCGGGCGAATCAAATCTATGACTGCAGGAGGGCGTGAAAGTTGTTTGACTAATACCACCTAGTAGATTTCGGGGGCTGACCTCAACAGTACGATAGTCTCCGGGTTCGATGCCTGATCCCTCTGCATATATGAGCTTCGAAGGCGGCTCTTCTTGGTCTCTCAACGATAACATATAAATCACGGGATAACGATGCGTTGGTATTAGGATGTAATCTATGCTTAATTGTGAAGGTACTGGCCTTTTGGTACGGTATGTTTGCCATGGTCTGTAACGACTCGTCTCCTTAGACACAAGGGCACCGATGGTCATTCCCTGCCAGTGAACGGATCCTCGAAGACAACATAATTGAAGGTACTAACTCTACTGGGCGGCGCCTGTCTCCAAGATAGCAGGATAAATGGACTTGACGAATAGAAGAGGATAATGCAGCGGGCTGGCCCGCCATCATGGCCAGCCAATGTCAATGCGTATTCAATGACCGATCTGCTGCTTCAGCTTAAGACTAGCAGCTTCTCTGTCAAGATGGGGCGCCAACCAGGGATAGATAGCCTCTTCCATCTTGAGCATCTTCCAATGAAGTCGGCGATGACTGCAAAGTACCAGTCTGGTTGACCAGGCAATAGAGATCCGCCGTACGGGAAAGACAACATGGGAAATTTTTGAGCCGGATGTCCTGTTGCAAAGAACCTCAGACTTAAGACATCCACAGCAAATACTCCCAGCTTGGCCTCAAAACAACACGAATTGAATGGAATTAGTGTTCCGTCCGTGGGTGGGGACACTTCTGAACTCTCAGAATACCTGAACCTGCAGGTGTTACAGTTGCACATCTTTTTTTCATGTCCTCCAACAAACTCGTCATGTCAGGATCTTCTTGCGGTAGATTGAGGCTGCCATCCAAGATTTGTCGCACAGCGGAAAGCCGACTTTCGAGGTCTTGAAAAGCATTTGGTCGGAGACTTGCCATCGGTGTCTCGTGGCCCTTCTGCACAACATCCTCCATGGTCGTGCACAGCACAATCCGTGGCAATACGTACTTTGATAAAATCGATCACTAGAGCTGCGAACTGACGCTCGAAGACATTCGGGGAATGTTACGTATACAAAAAAGAGCTTTCTGTGAATTTACAATATCGAGCGCTTTGTGGAGGGAAAGGTGCTCTTAAGAAACCGTCTTCGCCAGAACGGAAGGGACTCCCCAATGTTTTGTAAGTCGTGAGGGGTAGCCAAGGAGCAGAGATGGAGCTGACCGCACAGAGACAGATTGACGTAAGACAAACGGCGATGGTATCCGATATATCAAGCTGACGCAAGTCCCGAACGTTGAGCAATTGTAATACTTGGCTGTATCTGCTACGTTGCTATTCTGGTGGCAGATGCAGCGCATGTCCTTGATCAAGTCAGTCACTCCTCGAGTCGGACTGACTCTTCAGAAGACTTGCCTTCAGGACTATCTACTGACCTTGGATACGGTCAATACTCAAAGTATAGCAAGATTATTGACCCTTTCCTAACCCTCGATGAAGAAATCAGTCTGGTTCACCTAATTTGCTTGGGCGAAGGATCAAGCGAGCATCCTCGGATTGGCCCAGTGGTTCAATGCGTGGATAAAATGCAGTCAGCCGTGCCAACCAACCAAAAGGGCCTTGGCAATTTTCCCTGAAGCAACGAAGCCTATCACATGACGTTATGAAAGGATGGCCGCACCGTCATGTTCCACACATGGCTCCAATCATACCCGAACTTAGTGCAGCGGTGGACCGTGGATCACGAAAAGTAATAAGCTGAAACCTTGGGATTTTTCGCGTCTGATGCTGATCGAACCCAACCATTGAATTTGTTTCGATCTTGTGCAACGAGAACTGTCCAATGCCGGGACGGATCATGCTGCTCCTTCAAGCTGCCCCTCATTTGGCAGGAGCTTGTCACAAGCAAGAGTTGTCTACAGGATGAATAACTTCAAGAAACCGTTATGCTCGCATGGTCAAACCCCTCGAGCCCCTCAAGAATTCACCACACTGGCGGCCATAGCCCCCGCAACAGCGGCTCCAAGCACGGCACTGTCTATCGTGCTCTCCAAAACTATTCTCTTTTTTCCTGCAACGCTGTCATGTGTTACCATTTCATCCAGAGTTGCCTGCGCCCTCTCCATGTAGCCAGGGTATTTATTGATGATGCTGCCATCACAGCCAATGGTGACATGGTCCATGTCTATGGTCTCTAGCTTTTGAAGCATTGCCGTTAACGCATGTATTCCGACCGTGAAATAGGCAATCGAGCGGGTGGACACCCGTCTCACGACGTCTTTGATGAACACGATATCCCTCTCGCTTGGCATATGAGGGAATGGATGCCGTTGCTGGAACAAAGCGCGCGAGTCTGCAAGCCCAGGTGATGTGTCAATATCGATAAAAGCCAGATCCTTGGTGTCAAATGCATAAGGAGTATTGCCAAACGATTGTGACAGTAGTCCATCGAAAAGCCCGGCTGTTTGTGTAGCTTCCACAATTATCAACCGTACAATCTCGCCAGTGTACTTGCCCGCAACAAGGTATTCGAACGGCTGGTAGTCTGGGAGGGTATGTGCAGTATTAAGAATGTCGTCCCAACGAGTCGTAGGAAATATGCCTTTGCCGAACATGCTGAGCTCAGTATTGGTCAGGACGTGGGTAATATTTCCCACTGGTGACGCCCTTGATCGGAACTTGGACGAATCCAGGGCGGCAATTGGCAAATGTACAGCGGCATTCATGCCGGTTCCGAGAATCGTAGCTAAGCGTGTGGCAGGATCGAGGTACGCGCGGGCAAGGAGGGCTGAGGAGGAGTCGTTGACTATGGCGTCAAGACGAACATTGAGCTTCTATAGAACAACAAAATCAGCATTAGACCACAAGAAGAGGGTATGTAAACGGGCAAGTACAGCACGCTGGGAAGCTTTTGTGATGATTTCCCCAAGGTCACGACCAACGAGATACTCGGAGCAATGAAATCCCTTGCCCATGCCCAGCACGTTACCGCTTCTTATGGATGTCTGACTGTTCCAACATCAGCTGACTTGGTCTCGGACGTGTGTTGTAGGTCCCATGGTCTGGACTGACTCGAGGGGAAAGGACCAGGCAACGCCCATTGGTAGAGGTCCATTGCCTGCCGTATAGCCCGAGGGTTTGGCTTCCACCCCAAGCAATTCCCCAATCCGCTCAGCCATCCAGTCAAAGAAAGCATACTCCTTCAGCTGCCGTATGTCCGTATCTATGGGAAAGCACATTGTTTGTTGGATCCGCATGCCCAAATCCCTTCCATTAAGCTCCACGAGCGCCATCCGTAGATTTGAGCCACCAACCTCTAACGCCAAAAATGTTCCTTGCTCTTGTCCCGTAGGTAGTTCATAGTTTAAAGAAGGCAGCATGCGTTGTGACTGCGCGCCGGAGGTGAGCTGCTCTTGAAGCTCAGCTTGAAGCTTCTTCGACAAGGCGAGTAGGTCTTCGATCCGCAATCGTTGCTCGAATTGGCTTTGCACCTCTTGTAGGAAGCTTTCCAGAGAGGTTGGATGCTGTATAGACATGGCGGTGTCTTTGGAGTTGAGCTTGGGCGATTGAAGGGGTGTTATAGGAGCTGTCCATGATCTGAGGCGAGTATTGTGGTCACATCAATTGAAAGGGCAGGAGCCTTGTGGGAGCTGTCCTAGAGCTGTACCAAGCCAGAGGGACTACGACCATCAGAAGGTGTGGAGCATTAATCATGTACGAAGGTTGAAAGCACGCGGTAGCGGCAATTGTTCAAGGAATGGGGCAGTTGAGAGGGAGCGCAGCCATTGAGAAGAGCGGCGTGAAGGTTGGCGAATGTCTCAAAGCCTTGGCGCCTGGGCATCGTACCCTTCGTGGCAGGATGAATGGAATGCGTAGCTCTTGAAGTTGGCGACGATCTTAAGTGATGGTCCATACTGTTGTGTGTGTCGGAACATGTTAGGCAATCCAACCATAAAGGTGGAATATAGGCTCTCATTTACTCCAAAAATACAGCTTTACGTCCCATGCACTTGGCAAATAGTACTGAAATCTGCTGCTATAAGTTTGCTACCTGATACGATCGTTGCTATCGGCTCGCACTTCCCTCTCACTCACACTTTCTCCTCCACCTCCGGCGCCCCTTCCCCAACAATCATCGGCTTTACATCCTCATACGTTTCATCCGTGAACTTCAGATCCTCCTCGATCGGCACCGTATCCTGTATCTTCGTCCAAATCAGCGGCGCAGCAAGGAGCAAACTCCCCGCAAGCAGCGCCCAACTTGACGCAAATTCATTCATAAACGGAGCCTTGAGCGCATCGATGCGATATATGATGGCTGCACCAGCGGACTGTATGCCTTTGTAGAAGCCGGCGTAGTTGGCAAGTTTGCGGCCGTTGTTGGTCATGGCGCCCATGAACCAGTAGACGCAAGTTTGCCACGCAGCTAGGGTAGTGTTGGTGAGAGGGAAGTGTGGAAGTTTGCGTGGGGAGGGGGGAGGGGCGGATGAAGGAGGCTTACCGTCATAGAAGCCATAAAACATATACAAAAACATCGGACCCACATATCCCCTGCTCGTCCAATCCATCTTTGGCGCTGTCTTTGGCGCCGTCTCCGCCCTTGTATACCCTTTCTGCCAAGCATACCCGCCTCCCCAAATAACCATCGTGATCACAAACAGCACGCCCCAAACCACCTTCGCCCTCATACTTCGTCTCACGCTCTTGACGTCTAGCCCATACCCGAATATGTACGCTCCGGCAATCTGACTCGTCCAGTACAGGATACTGTTGAGCGATCTCGTCCTGATGTTGAACTTGGCAGAATTGAAATCATTGAATTGGTAAGTATAGAACCAATTGCTAGCCAGGAACATTGGGAAAAGGCAGATGATCCAGATGTCCGTTTTCAGTACTTCTAGAAGGCCGAGGAGTTCGCTTTGCCATGTTGGGTGTTTCATAAGGATGACGTGGGAGCCGTCAGAGCGGACTACGCTTTTGGCATCAACGAGCGTCCAAGCTAGGCAGGCGCCGATGAATGTCAAGATCAGGAAGCCGATGTAGGTGCCGTCGGTTACGTTGCCGGCTGAAGAATGGATATTTTGACCCAGAGGTATCCTTATCGGAGATCGTTAGTTGGAGATTGCCAAAGATTAAATTTCGATAGACATGGGAGATACTCACAGCCCACCTATCACAGCCCCCAAATTAAAAATCATCCAGAACCAGGAGATGTACCTCCCCTTCGACTGCTCAGGCGGATACGACATCATAATCGCTCCCTGGGCTGCCCAGAGCATTCCAGCACAAATACCAAGCATAGCTCCCGCGAAAACGACAAATCCCTCATTCTGGTTGTGATTGTAGCTTAGGTAGCTAGCTATATAAAGAACGTATCCCAAGCCTCCGAGACTCAACGTCAACTTTATACCTAGACGGTTGGCAATGGTTCCAGCAAAGAAGCCGAATACACTGAAAGTAGAGTACAGAGCAACGTTGGCATTGTCGGCCGTATGAGCGTCGAATTGACCACCTCCGCCCAGACCATTGACTGCGTTGAACATGCCAGGACACATGAAGCAGACGAATGCCACGAGGGTAAGCTGGAAGGGTGGCGAAGCATAGCAGGGAATTTTGATAGATGCGAAGCGGTATGTCTTGTATTTCCATCCTACTGGACGGTCTGGATAGGCATTTTCCTCCACAGCAGATACCTTGTGGTCATCGTGAGGAGTCTCTTGTGCCATAGCATCTTGCTTTTCAGGTTGAATATCTGCCATGATGAAGCGGAACGCTCAATAGAAAATACGTGCTTTATTCCAGTGATCAAGTTGCGTGCATATTTCGTCTGCAAGACCCTTAGATGCACGTTTCCCGGGAAAGGAAAGGGACCTTAGAGGCAAGGAGCAGAGGTCAATAACCACGCAGAAGAGACGAGAAGTTGAGAGCGATAGTCCTCGATTTACCGCACAGGGACGCTGGACTCATGACTATAAGATAGCGACTGTAGTCGCGTGAGGGGCTTGGGAGGACTTGAGGAAGCTTGAGCAAGTATTCTGATTGGCACAAATCAAGGGCTATCGGTGATCGACAGTAGTCAGCACTAGAAGAGATAGTCTCCGCTGCACAAAACGGCCGCGGTGCGAACCCTTGGCACAATGATGGGAGGGGTCACGAGATAATTTGATGAGGGGCAGATGCAGTGAGACAGCGGTGCATTTCGTTATGCCTGGAAAGAGAAGCTCCTAGAGTATGGAATCAGCCTTTCGCAAGGGAAAATCAACCGAGGACCAGGTCAAGATTTGGAGAACGTGGTTGGCAGGATCCCTGCCCGTATGCTTGGAATCAGATCCACATAAGCAGGAATCATCTCAACGGCTCGCCCATACCGTCGAATAGTAAAAATGCTGTAGGGCAAGCCCCACTGGATTCGTATGCAATCAGCTCCCACGACCACAGGTTGACCATGGGCGGGGGGTCAACCCTTATAGCTTGGAGAAAACTGTAGGCACAGTCCCACTCATATCAACCAGCGTACTCTTATTCCTCACCCAAGCCTCTAGGCCCCTTTTTCCGTTCTCAACCCCAACACCACTTTGCTTCCACCCACCCACGCTCATCTCGGCAGGACTTTCGCCCCAGGTATTGACCCAAGTGATGCCAGCCTCAAGCTTAGCTACGACCTTATGCGCCATGTTGAGGTCCTTCGTAAAGACGCCTGCGGCAAGACCGAGAGGTGTAGCATTCGCTCTTTCAACGGCTTCTTCCACGGACTCGTACGTCAACAGGGTCATCACGGGCCCGAATATCTCTTCCTGCACAATCCTCATCGAATCTGTGCAGTCGGTGAACACTGTCGGTCTAACCCAATAGCCACCTTCCAATCCAGGAATGTCTTTCGGTTGGTCAGGGCCTCCACAGAGCAAGGTCGCTCTATCCTTTTCGAGTCCGTACTTAATGTACCCAATGACTTTTTCGTAATGCATCTCGGACACCAGGGGGCCAAAGTTAGTGTTCACGTCCATGAGATTGCCAGCTCGGATGTATTTCATCTTTTCCAGTAGCATCTCCTCAAAGGCTTGCTTCATGTCTTTGGGAATAAATACCCTTGTGCCATTCGTGCAGACCTGGCCAGTGCTGAAGAAATTGGCCATCATAGCTCCATTCACGGCTTGTTCTAGATCCACGTCTGATAATATGATGACTGGGCTCTTCCCACCAAGCTCCATGGTCGTGTATTTCATTCCCGCTGCTGCGCTGCTAGCAACCTTTTTGCCTGTTGAGACTTGTCCAGTGAAAGACACCTTGGCGATTCCAACATGCGACGTAAGATACGCGCCGACGTCCCCACCGCCTTGAACAACGTTGAAGACCCCAGGTGGTAGTCCTGCTTCCGTGTAGATCTCGGCCAATATTTGACCGTGTAGCGGCGTGACTTCGCTGGGCTTGTAGACCATAGTGTTGCCCGCGGCAAGACAAGGTGCTGACTTCCAGAGCGCTCTAGACACTCTCGACCTCAGCTCGGTATCCATGTCTTCTGAGAGAGGCGGCGTACATTTGTATGGGGTAATTCCATGCTCCTATGCCCGCGCATACACCCAGAGCCTCTTTCTTCGTATACACCCATGCATCCTCCCTCAATTGCGTCGTCTCCCCATTAAGCCCACCTCCTCCCACTAGGTTGGCGAAGAATTCGAGCACATCCGCTCCCGTCACCACATCGACTGTGCTTGTCTCGGAGAACGGCTTCCCTGTGTCTTGTGTCTCTGTCCTCGCAATCTCATCGTTTCTATCTCGTAGAAGCTGGACTGCCTTCAGGAGGATGCGAGATCGAACGATTGGGGGCGTGGTTGACCAATCATGAAAAGCTCGTTGACCTGATTGAATGGCTGAGTCAATGTCGGAGTGGGAGGCAGCATGGATATCTGCCAGTGGCTGTGCGGTCGATGGATCGATGGATCTGAAGATACCTCCAGAACCTACCTGGACCTGGCCGTCATAGTAGAGATGGCGCGGCGGGTAGAACGAGTCCGCCATTGATTGAGATTGATGGCGAAATCACGAGGGAGGGTGGGAGAAACTTGAGTCCTTGCCCAGCATGTCATGCACGTACCTTCAACCACGGAGGTTCTACAAGGCTGATCCCTCGATGAGAAACATACCTCTTCTCTTCAAGCTTGCCATGTGCTAACACCAGATTTTCTCCGCATATTTTGTCTCCTTTCGGACTAGTCAAGTATCAGCAAATCTCCCCACTCAATAATGTCTCCCCTAGAGCATCCAAAAATCTGTGCGACTTTGCTGACCTTGCTTACCCTAGATCCATCTCATACTTACAATCCTTTGTCTCCTTTCAAGTACACAAATGGGAGGTAATATGGTCTTGTCTTGAGCTGCTCTTATCTCTCTGAGCACACATTGTCACGTGCGAGATCTCACAGCGACATTTATTGTATTATCTCTTTGCAAGTCTACTTATTCTCTCCTTGGATATACAAAAAGGCTGCGTGGAGCCTGTTGGGTTAGAAAAGCAACCACAATCTCTTTGGGTTTTCCACTCTTTTCCGAGCCTTGAATTCCTCTTCATCATGACCACCACCAAGCTCTCCGCCTCAGAGGCCGATAGCTTCGACTACCTGATAGTAGGCGGTGGTACAGCGGGGTGTGTCATCGCTAGCCGATTGGCAGAGTATTTACCGAAGAAGAGAATACTACTGATTGAAGCTGGTCCGAGCGATTTCATGAATGACAAGATTCTAAACCTGAAAGATTGGCTGAACCTCCTGGGTGGCGAGCTGGACTATGACTATGGGACTACGGAGCAGCCAAATGGTAAGCGAGCTTGGCTCTTGAGGATATGTGTTTTTGGTGATGCGTACAAGTCTTCCGTCTACCGTCGTGCATCCAAGAACAAGAACCATTCTTGAATTGTGATATATTCAAGGTGGAATCGGGAGTAAACACAAACAGCATTGACAGCATCACTGATCGATCAAAATATAGGTAACTCGCACATCCGCCACTCCCGAGCAAAAGTCCTCGGCGGTTGCTCCTCCCACAACACCCTAATATCCTTCCGTCCCTTCGCCCACGACGCCGCCATCTGGGAATCTCTCGGCTGCACAGGCTGGTCCTTCGACACCTTCAACCGCCTCCTCGACTCCATCCGCAACACCGTGCAACCCGTCCATTCCCGCCACCGCAACCAACTCTGCAAGGACTGGGTCGAATCCTGCTCCACTGCCCTGTCCATCCCCGTAATCCACGACTTCAACCGCGAGATTGCCCGGAACGGGAACATAGAGTCCGGCGTCGGCTTCTTCTCCGTGGCGTACAACCCCGACGACGGCCGCAGGAGCAGCGCCAGCGTCGCCTACATCCACCCCATCCTCCGCGGCGACGAGCACCGACCCAACCTCACCATCCTAACGGACGCCTGGGTCAGCCGCGTCAACGTGCAGTCCTCGACCGTCACAGGCGTCAACATAACCCTGCAATCCGGCACCACCCTCACCCTGACCGCCCGCAAGGAAACCATCCTCTGCGCCGGCGCGATCGACACCCCCCGCCTCCTCCTCCACTCCGGCATCGGCCCCTCCGCCCAACTCACCGCCCTCAACATCCCCGTGGTCGCCGCCATCCCCGGCGTCGGGCACAACCTACTCGACCACCCGGAAAGCATCATCATGTGGGAACTGAACCGGCCCGTGCCCCCGAACCAAACGACCATGGACTCCGACGCCGGCATCTTCCTCTCCCGCCCGGGGCACACGCCCGGCGTCGCGGACATCATGATGCACTGCTACCAGATCCCCTTCTGCCTCAACACCGCCCGCCTCGGCTACGACACCCCCACCGACGCCTTCTGCATGACGCCCAACATCCCCCGCCCCGAATCCAAAGGCCAACTCTACCTGACCTCCTCCGACCCTCGCGTCAAGCCCGCCCTCGACTTCCGCTACTTCAGCGACCCGGCCGGCCACGACGCCGCCACCCTGGTCGCCGGCCTCCGCGCCGCCCGCCGCGTCGCCGCCCAGCCCCCCTTCTCCGCCTGGCTGGCGCGCGAGGTGGCCCCGGGCCCCGCCGTCCAGAGCGACGCCGACCTCGGCGCCTACGGCCGCTCGGCCGCCCACACCGTCTACCACCCGGCCGGGACGACGAAGATGGGCGACGTGGCCCGCGACGCCATGGCCGTCGTGGACTGCGGGCTGCGGTTGCGCGGGCTCGGGGGGGTGCGCGTCGCGGACGCGGGGGTGTTCCCCGCCATGACGAGCGTGAACCCGATGCTGACGGTGCTGGCGATTGGGGAGCGGTGCGCGGAGATGGTGGCGGAGGAGGCGGGGTGGAAGGGTGCGAGGGCGAGATTGTGAGGGAGAAGAAAGAGGGGAGGGGGGGGTGCGGAGAGGCCGGAAATGGGTCGGTGGGATGGAATGTGTGCGCCGTGTAAGTGTGTGGCAAGAAATCTTTGCGCTCAAGGAAAGAAAATGCAAAGATGGGAAATTGGCAATTTCCTTTCACAACTGGAAATGCCCACAAACCCGATCGAATTGTACATATCGTTATCAACACCTCCACCAATTAATTTTCAAAAAGTCACTCAAAGTGCGCAACTCATAGTCTTCAACCACATTTCCATTCCATTCACTTCGATGCATACGAAAAGCGCATTCACACACCACCTCGCCATGCCCCCAGCCGTGAACCGAAGCAGTGCACACGCTCCGGAAATCGCTCAAAGCGCCCCGCCACATTGCGGACCGACAAAGAAAAGCCGCCGTAA